TAGGTTCCATCAAGTGCTACATGTACACAATTCCTCTTAACTCAAGATTGTGAGACATGGCTGAATCCATTCTCTGACATGGTAGCAAGATGCAGTTGCATGGGTTGTTTTATTTCATCAATGTCAATAAACCTGCGTCCTTTCTCTATAGAAACCAGAACAATGGCAACGCCAAAGCGTAGCGAATCCTATCGAACAGCCATGGCTGGCATTTTTACAAAGTATATAGCAAAAATGGCGGCCATTTTTCAAAATGACCACCTTCTACCAAAAGTATCATTAGACAGTGTGCCATACTTATAGTATTCACATACCAAATATGAACAAAATTGCTCCAGTACTTTTCGAGTTACAGCAAAAATCGTAAAATAATGAGTAAAGGCCGCCATTTTTCAAGATGGCTGCCATGTGCTTCTTTAATATCTACATTTCAAGCTTTATTAATGTCCTACATAATTTTTTTTACATTTAAAACATATTGCTATTACAGTTTACATATTGCACCTAAATTACTATAAAATCGGCACTAAAATGACCGCCATTTTTTAATGAGCGGCCATTTCAACGGTATTCGAGTTATTACCCGCATGGACGGAGGCATTCCCTATATCCCTCCGAACTTCGTTCGATGGGATAATAAGTAGTATAGAAATAAATAAGTCACATGTGAGCAGATCTGGGCAATATGGTACATTGGCCAAGGGCTCAATTTTGAGGTCCAGGGATATTGTTTTCTGATCATTTTGAGATCCGTGGGCAGGTGCATTGTCCATATAGAGTAGAGTGTTCCCTTATCTCACCACCCCTTTCTTCCACAATGCTTCCTCAAATTGACCTGCAAATCCCTTCCATACAACACTCTGGTATCACAATACTTTCTGTTTATGTGTTACCAGTCAGCAAAATATTTCAAAAAATTAGTACCGTGGGTACTGGGCTCACATGGTGTTTGTAACAAAATTATTTCAAGCCACTTGCCACTATTTTGGACTGACTGAGAGACAGATAGACAAATCGATGCTAAGTAAAATGGCTGAAAAAAAACGGATATAATTTTTTGCCAATTATTTGTAACAAAATTATTTCATACAACTACTCTTTACAGTGACATGGCTTTTTGCAATGCAGGACACCTGGAATTATTTGTACAGCTAGGACACGGGCCAAAATTGAATTTCGCGAGACAAAAATGGCGACCATTTTAAAAATAGGCAAGCTTTTGTACCAGGAATCATAGGGGAGTTTTTTGTATTGATGTTGAACAAAAATAACTTGAAACTGGAATCCTATTGACAGAGGTTTTAAGCAAATGGTCCAAAAGTGGACAGATGGACAAATCAATGTGAACTAAAATGGCTGAAAATAAAAAAATGGATATAATTTTTCGCTGATTTTTCGTAACAAAATTATTTCATACATCTACTCTTTACATTGACATGGATTTTTACAATGTAGGACACTCGAAATTATTTGTAAAGCTAGGAATGGGTCAAAAGTGAATTTCGTGAGACAAAAATGGCGGCCATTTTATAAACAGGTGAGCTTTTGAACCAGGAGTCATATGGGAGTTTTCTGTATTGATGTTGAACAGAAATAACTTAAAACAGGAATCCTATCGACAGAGGTTTTAAAACGTGCCACTGTTATTGATGGAAAGTGGATTTCGCGAGTCAGATAGACAAATCAATGTTAACTAAAATGGCTGAAAATAAAAAAATGGATACAATTTTTCGCTGATTTTTTGTAACAAAATTATTTCATATATCTACCCTTTACATTGACATGGATTTTTACAATGTAGGACACCTGAAATTATTTCTAAAGCTAGGAAATGGGTCAAAAGTGAATTCAATGAATTATCATAATGTGCCACTGTTATTGATGGAAAGTGGATTTCGCGAGTCAGATAGACAAATCAATGTTAACTAAAATGGCTGAAAATAAAAAAATGGATACAATTTTTCGCTGATTTTTTGTAACAAAATTATTTCATATATCTTACCTTACATTGACATGGATTTTTACAATGTAGGACACCTGAAATTATTTCTAAAGCTAGGAAATGGGTCAAAAGTGAATTTCGCGAGACAAAAGTGGCGGCCATTTTGAAAATTGGCCAGCTTTTGAACCAGGAGTCATAGGGGAGTTTCCTGTATTGATGTTGAACAGAAATAACTTAAAACAGGAATCCTATCGACAGAGGTTTTAAAACGTGCCACTATTGTTGACGGACGGACAGACAGACGGACGGACAGACAGACGGACAGACAAGTGAGTGATTGCAAAAGCTCACCATGTGAGCTAACAACACAACACTTGTTGCATATAAAAAGTTCAAATCTAACTGAAATTTGCCAAACTGGCTAAAAACTGAATATTTGACGTAAATGTAGGTCCCGGGGTACCTGTACCTCCTTCACGAAAATAAAGATATGTCAACATGTGTTATATATTTTGTTTTCAAATGTTCAGAATTGATAGATAATTGAATGATGTATCACTGGTAGGAAAATCAAAGGAATTGGTCTATAAAAAGTATCTGTGTAAAAAAAGCGTCCATTACTTATTGATCACCTCTCATACATAATCATTCTGCCAAATATGAAGAAAATTCATCATCTACTAGTATCACAATATCCATACTGAACTTCATTTGTTGGGATAAAAATGGCTTTCTATGAAATTCTAAAATAGACATATTTAGTCTCAATTAACATTCATGCAAGTAAAGAACTTACTTTGGTGGAGACTTATTATAGCTATATGTGAAACCACTCAAAGATCTTCTTACCAGCAAATTAAAATACTACATTAACAGACCTCTTAAATACTTTAACAGGCAAGGCAATCCATTGTCAACTGTTAAACTGTTTTCAAACAATCGGAGTATCACATTTTAACTGATAATAGCAGCTAATTCCTATCTACCAATTATTCTCAATCAATAGTTATCCAATCCCTCTCAAAGCTGATGATGGAGTAAATAGTAATTTGAGTCTGAAGTAAGCTTGAAAGTGAGATTGTTCTCTCATTTGTTTTCTCACATCACTTACAACATAGTTGGTGTGGCTCTGACTTATAATGTGGCTCAGAGTGCTTATTTCAGACAATTTATTAACCTAAATATAAAATCTCATTAAATGATTACTTGCTCCATTAACATACTTTTCATTTCACATGGTTTGGCATCTATAGAAGACAATGTCATCAAAGAAAAGAATTCTAAATATATACTAGGTATACTGTATATAGAGATTATCCTATATGAGGTTCAGGATATTGGGATTATCCCAAGGCCAACATAATATATCTGCCCGAGGGTAGATATATTATATTGGCCAAGGGATAATCCTAATATCCTGAACCGACTATAGGATGATCTGTTTATATTCAGAATAAACTTTGCAACCAACCGTGGAATTATTTTAAAATATTCATGTCCAGTTTTGTATTCTTGTCCATAGCCGGATGTTCCTGTTCAAATCTTTGATTATTAACGGGGCATACTGCTCCTTCCCTTCTTTAAAGCATCAAACAGATCGCGATTGTCTGCGTTTTTCTCCATTGTCGTTATCAGTATGCGAACGTTACAAAAAAAAGAAACAATACAGGAACAGCGATCATGACGTAGCGGGTAGATATACTATATCTGCCAGCTTGGAGCGGGACGTAATGCTATATCTGCCCGCTGATGAAAATATAAGTTTTAACAAACCGGCTTTTTATACCCGTAACACGTCCAAGTATGGGACAAATAGAGGTTATTTCATGGGAGGGATGGAATATGAATTTTATTCCGAGCGAAAATATGATATAAACCAAGGAAAATATCATATGTGATATTTTCCGAGGCCAATATCATATTTTCCCTCGGAATAAAATTCATATTCCATCACGACCATCAATAACCTATTTATTCTATAATAACTTTCTAAAACTTATTTATTTTTTATTTTTGTTTGTCATCACCCAATGATTGTGACATAAAATGATACATTTATCATATAACATTTTCAGAAATTAGAAATTACCGAAATAGTTCTGACACGGGATCTGATACAGGATTTTTTTTGATACTGGATCCAATATGGGATTTTGGCTGATATGGGATCTGATACGGGATTTTTTGAATATCAATTTCACATTCCATGAATTTCATTATAAATGATGAGAGTTAATTAATGATAGGATAATAGATTTTGGTAAATGTCACTCCAAAGGTCAAATATCAACATTAGACTTGCACAATGGGTGTCCTTGAGTGAACATACAACTTTAAGGTAAACATAGAAAAACATTAAACCTGCACATCGCTCCAAAGCGCAATATGTTGAAATATATTGTTTTTACATTTTCAAGCTCTGATATAAAGTTTATGTAAATAAAAAAGGTTTTTTCTGCGTAATATCAAAGAACAATCATTTAGTTTAAAAAAATTGAAAAAAACAGGTACGGGATTTGAACCTGGGCCGCCTGAGTGCTGAGCGAGCATTCTACCGCAAGGCTACCAAGTTTTTCTGAATGCTTATAGTAATTAAACGCTACTTATGTTGAATGCTGTAATTCGGAAGTGACGTCACATTCTTAATTTAGAAACCTTCCAAAAATCATCGCCGTCGACAATCGAAGCAATTCAATGAACAATCTTTGTAATGACACATTTATCATAAGTATTTGTACACAAGATTTGCCCCATTTGTTCATCATTCTATAATCTTTCATTAACCTCAAAATGATATAATTCACCCCTGAAACAACCCAAGATTGCGTTTCGGGGCAAAGAGCAGCTTTAATAACCAAATTGTGTAATGGACACTTTCTGGGATTATGATTTATTTGAAGGATGTCCATATTTTTACACTGACCTGACATGTTATTGATTTTACAAAAAAATGTTTCATACAAAATATTCATGAACATCAGGGTTGGTGGAGCCAGGAATTTGTTTTAAACTTTCCATCTGCTATGCTTCCAGGATTCATGTGGTGAAGTTCTATGGTATGGGAGAAGATGGTCTTTACTCAATACATATTGTTGATGGATGTGTCAACAAGACATCTGGGTTCATTGAGAGAATGATGCCAGGATGCAAGTTCCACTCTGTCCCCTGGATGAAAGATGAATCTATCCAGTTGCTTGGATGTGCAGGTGGACCTCTGCATAGCAGGCAGTGTGACACTGCTGATGAAGGTATGCTTGCTGACTTTGTGGAGAACCCAATGGGGACAATTGGGGGATTTGCTGCTCTTCTTGGTCCATATGAAAGATATCATGAGAGGCAAGGTGAGATGTATGTTCTCACAGCCAACCATGTGGTAGAACAACTCATTCCAAATGTTGAATATATTTCTTGGTCCAAGGAAGATCAAAGTGACAAACATGTAATAGGTAGAGAGGTTCCATATAAAATACCATTAAGAATGGACAGTGATAGTGATGAAGAGGGCATTGACAACTGGAAAGATGTTACTTGCCAAAAGGAAGATGAGAAAATGTTAGAGAATTGTGTAATTCATGCAGTAATGAATGATAAAGATGAGGAAGAACAACAATATGATATTGCCTGCATCAGAGTGGATGATCAACATGATCCTGCCAATACCAAAATAAAAAATGAACAGTGTGAGAACATGAAACATCAATACAAAGATTGTGATGATTGTTGTAATAAAGGTGGATGGTGGTCCAAAGACCCTAAAGCTGGCTCAAATGTAGTAAAGCTAGGACTGTCACTCAATCAAGCAAAGGGCAATATTTTGAAAGTAGATGCAGGGGGTGAAATCAAAGTTGGTAATAAGACTGCATGGGTAGAGAACATGGTAGCTATCAGTTCAGAAAAGCCAGATGCTGACACTGCATACACACAGCCAGGAGACAGTGGGACCATAGTATGTGATACAAAAGAGCTACAATGGTTGGAATGTTATCCAAACTGTTTCATGATATTTGCAGGATGGGATAAAGCAAATATATACAATGCATGGAACAAACCAGTGTCTCTAGCATTCTCCTTACCTGATGCCCTGGAGATGTTAGCTGAACAAGTGAAGGGAAATGATGAGGAATCAAAGAAGAAATTTAAGTTGTCTTGCTGTAAGAAAGTATTTGAACAAATACAAGAGGAAGAAGAAGAAAAGCGTCAAAAGGAAATGGCAGAGTGTCCAAAAGAGGAAGTAGAGTATTTAAGTGGAGAAGTAGAATGTTCATATCAAGAGTGTTCAAACGAAGAAATAGAAAGTTCTAAAGAAAAGGGAGAATGTCCAATAGAAGCAAACTGTTCAAAGCAAGAACCAGAATATTGCCGAGGCTGCATACGCGCCAATTGCCTAATGTGAAACAGAAACAGCAACTCAACGTTTGGAATTGATTGAAGTGTAGTATATTATTGAGGACTTTAATAGGCAATAGTAGAGGAATAATAAGTATTAACTTATGTATTTGGATTAGACTGTCAAAAATAAGGGCTGCAGGTTATGTTATGTTATTCTATTTACCATTATAAGCTTTATTATCTCCTTAATCATGTAAAACTTTTACATAAAAAATGTCAATCAGATTATTATCAGCACTTTACTTATTGTTATACTTTTATATACTATACATGTTAGCATATTTACTGTACTGGCATGTAGCTTATATTATAGGGTGTGGGTAACTTTTTGTATTTATAGGGTGTTCAATAAGTATTGCTAAAATGTTATGACAGTGATATTTATGTTTCCATAAAACAAAATCATGGATACTTGCCTAACTGAGGAGGCAGAAATAGTTTAGCAAAAAGTGACAGATGTGATATAATTATAAAAATGCTGCGACCTTAAGCATTGTTCACAGTATGAGCTACGTTTTTTGAGTCTTCATTTATTTCAATGTGTTTGTAAATCATTCTGATTTTTTGCTATTTTTCAGTTAGCCTTTGGACTGGAGGACCAAAATGTGGTCAAGTTTTTGTTTCAAACAAGTTTTACACATATGTTTCAAGGATTTCACCTCAGATAAAAAGATCGCAAGTAACATATGTATAGTACATGTTTGGATTTTTGAAGCATTCTTCAAGTGTTTAAAATAATGTTTCAAGCAATTCGGCCATTTCATTTATAATTATTTGCCTGTCAATGTATACAGGGCTTTAGAAAGAAAAACTAGGAAAAAATAAGGCAATATGTAAAACATAATAACAACATGTTTGAAAAATACTTATTGAATACCCTACTTCTCTATGTTGCTATTTGTGCATTAACTGCTTCTATTTCTTATATAAATGAGCCTAGTCAAAAGGAAAGGAGTCATAAAGATAGAGACTTTGAACGTAAAAAGCAAGGAAGCTTCACACAAAGGGAGAGTTTAACTGCATAATAGTGTTTTATCACATTAAAGGAGTCTTTTACATTTCACTTTTTATTCCATATAATAGATACTAATAAATCATTGACAATGTCCCCCAAAAATGAACTGAGACAAACATAAAACTATGTGAGTGAGGAGAGAATATTCTTGACAATCTAACTAATAACAATTTGATTACTTTATGACATGCAATATTGCCGAGGCATATGCGCCAATTGTCAAATGTACAGAAACAGCAACTCAACATTAGGAATCGATTGAAGTGAAGTATAATATTGAGGATTTCAATGGGCGATAATAGAGGAACAATAAGTATCAACTTATGTATTTGGACAAGACTGTCAAAAATAAGGGATGTAGGTTATGTTATCTTATTTTATTTACCATTATAAGCTTTATTATCTCCTTAATCATGTAAAAATGTTTGCATAAAAATGTCAATCAGATTATTATCAGCACTTTACTAATTGTAAAACTTTTATATACTATACATATTAGCATATTTACTGTACTGGCATGTAGCTTATATTATAGGGTTTGGCTCACTTTTTGTATTTATAGGGTGTTCAATAAGTATTGCTACAATGTTGTGACAGTAATATTTATGTTTCCATAAAACAAAATCATGGATACTTGCCTCAAATGAGGAGGCAGAAATAGTTTAGCAAAAAAGTGACAGATGTGATATAATTATAAAGATGCTGCGACCTTACGCATTGTTTGCAGTATGTGCTGCATTTTCGAGATAGAGAAATTATGTCTTCATTTATTTCAATGTGTTTGTAAATCATTCGGATTTTTTGCTATTTTTCACACTAAGACTTTGGAGGACTAAAATGTGGTCAAGTTTTTGTTCCTAACTAGTTTTACAAGTTTTTCATGGATTTCACTTTAAATAAAAAGATCGCAATTAATATGAATAGTGCCTGTTTTGATTTTTGAGGCATTCTTATTAATTTGTTTAAAATAATTTTCTGAGCAATTCAGCAATTTCATTTATTATAAGCATTTGCCTATCAGTTTATACAGGGCTTTAAAAACAAAAAATAGGAAAATAAGGCAATATGTAAAACATAACCCAACATATTTGAAAAATACTTATTGAATACCCTACTTCTCTGTGTTGCTCTTTGTGCATTAACTGCTTCTATTTCTTATATAAATGAGCATAGTCATGTGGAAAGGAGTCATAAAGATAGAAACTGAACGTAAAAAGAATCTTTCACACATAAAAAGGGTTTAACCACATTAAAGTGTTTTATCATACTGAAGGAGTCTTTTACATTTCAGTTTTTATTCCATATAATAGATACAAATAAATACACTTGGCAATTCAATTATCTCAGTGATTAACTCCATAAGTTCAAAAAGCAGCAGAAGAGTAAATTTTTAATATCTCTCAAATCAGTAACATTTTGGATTCTAGTTTTCTACTGACTAGGCTCAAATATTGGATGTTATATGATTTAAAATTTTTAAAAATAAATGTTGAGCTTAATAAAAATTTATACAATATTCTGTTTTTCTTATCGATAGCTCTTAACAATTTTAACTATCACATCTTTTAAATAGATTCCTTGAAACCTTTTAATTATCCCTGGAATATCTATTAAGTTATTTTGAAATATTGAAAATAATCAAAACTCTGAGAGACTGGAAAACTCAGCTATGACAAGGGGTTAGAAATGGGGTCCAAAACAAAGTAATAACAAGGCATTAAAATGACAAAATGTCACCACCTAGTTGCTCACAATATTATGAGTTCAACCTTAAGTCAGATCTCAATTTCTGAGAACTTGTAGATGATTTTGAAAAAAATAAATTGATCAATTTGAAGCAAGTTGAAAAATACCTTTTTTCCCTGAGAAGGTCAAAGAAGATGAAATCTCAAATCTAAAGTCAGATGTGAACTTCTGAGAACTTGTAGATGATTTTGAAAAAAAGTTGGTCAATTTGAAGCATGATGAAAAAGACATTTTTTACCTCGAGAAGGTCAAATCTTTTTTGACCTTAAAAATGACATTAAAGGTCAAACCTATAGCCAGATGTGAACGTGTGAGAACTTGTAGATGATTTTGAAAAAACGATTTGTCAATTTGAAAGTCACTGAATGTCAAATCATAAATATAAAGTCAAATTTGAACTTCTGAAAACTTGTAGATGATTTTGAAAAAAATGAAGTCAGTCTAAACAGTATTTGTTAAGTTATTGGAAGTTTTTAGAATCTGTTTCAGATGCCAATCACCAACTGCCAACCACCGACCAACGTAAAAAACAGAGACCATAACAATATGTCACCACTTTTTGGTGGTGACATAATAACAATATGTCACCACTTTTTGGTGGTGACATAAAAACATGAAACAGTGATGAATATCACACTTTTTTACTAAAAATTAAAATGGCTATCAAGTCATTTACTCAGCATGCCATGTACCTCATCATATCTTGGGGATCATCTGCTCTTAAAAGGGACATACATTTACCATACTTGCAAACCTGGAGTAAAATGGTCTTGATAAAGGAAAATATAGCAAATAAAAGTGAACATTTACCTGTGCTGTGATCAGCCTGCTGGGGTGCATCTTTGAGAAATGATGGAGACACTCCAATATCACTACTTCCCGCTAATTGCTGTATTCTGATTGGTTGACCATTTGATGCTAGGTTGTTCTCGAATGCATACTGATTTTTTTGGTACTGTGCTCTGCCAATATAAGGACTTTCTCCAATCAAATCATTCTCACCATCGTAGTCCTAAACATATGAAATATTATGGTCAACATGTGGGCAATGTGGAATAATCATGGAGAAAGTAATTGTTGGGAAAACTTGAGCGATGTGATACCAGGTGCCAGCACAAAAAGGTGGCTATAACAATGAGAATACCATGTAAAAATCAAATTTCACATTATTTTAATCGAATTCCCTGCAATGAACATTTACCTGTACTTTGATCAGCCTGCTGGGGTGAATCTCTGAGAAATGATGGAGATGCTCCAATATCACTACTTCCCGCTAATTGCTGTATTCTGATTGGTTGACCCTTTGGTGCTAGGTTCTTCTCGAATGCATACTGATTTTTTTGGTATCGTGCTCTGCCGATATAAGGACTTTCTCCAATCAAATCATTCTCACCATCGTAGTCCTAAACATATGAAATATTATGGTCAACATGTTGGCAATGTGGAATTATCATGGAGAAAGTAATTGCATATGGAAAACTTGAGCGATGTGATACCAGGTGCCAGCACAAAAAAGTGGCGATAACAATGAGAATAAAGCTTTTGAAACCCCATTTGCCATGTAAAAATTAAATTCACATCATTTTAATCGAATTCCCCGAAATTCTATTCTTGTTACCTTCATCAGATTTTCTTGTTACATTTCACCATTAGGTGTCTCTTAAAATTTTAAAACTCCATTTACCATATACAGGGTGTCAAAAAACAATGGCACCCCCCTCTACAGCAAAAACTCCTCAATGTTACATGGCATGTCATATCTCATTTGAAAATTAATTTAATTCTGGAGTTACTCATCAAATTTCATTTAATAAAACTTTAAATTAAATAAGCTATATTGTTTCGAAGTTTGCTACTTCAGTACTTTGTTTGCTACTTTATTACTGCTTTAAGGTCAAATCTTGGAAATGATTAATATGTAGAAAATAGCCCAGATCTCAACTACGCTGAACATATAGGTTTAATTGTGAAAGACAGGGTAGGGGAATTGATGGAGAGGGGGCCTCTTGAAAATAGATACAGTAAGGATGTATTTCTGAAGAATATGAGGAAAGTGCTTTAAGGCTTACGCAATGCTGAACCTCTCTTTGAATCTTCACTGAAGTCATATCCATCCAGATTAGCTGCTTTTCGAGCGGCAAGTGATGGCCATACCAACTACTTATAATCAGCTATAAATCTGCAAAATTATATCATACAGAGCTGAAATTTCTCAAGTAACTCCAGATTTAAATTGTCTTTAAAATGGGATATGACACACTATGTGACATTAAGTACATTTTTCTGTAGAGGGGGGTGCTGTTGTTTTTTGACACCCTGTAAAGTAAAAGTTAGACTATACCTCCATATCATAAGTAGGTGGAACCTGGCCAAGGCTTCCAAACTTTGAGTCTATCTTAAAGAAAGCCAACTCCTGCTCCAGTTCATAGTTTTTCTCACAAGCCTTTGTAAGCTCCATGGTCTTCCTTTTTAACTGGAATCATGGTGAATGAAACAATGCATTAACATGACAAAATGTCACCACCTAGTTGCTCATAATATCATTAGTTCAATCTATAGTCAGATGTGAACTTATAAGAACTTGTAGATGATTTTTTAAAAATTGGGTCAATTTGAAGCAAGTTGAAAAAAGACATTTTTGTCCTTTTGTGACCTTTAAAAGATCACTGAAGGTCAGATCTTAAATATAAAGTCAGATTTGAACTTCTGAAAACTTGTAGATGATTTTGAAAGGACTGAGGTTAATCTAAACAGTATTTGTTAAGTTATTGAATGTTTTAAGAATTTGTTACAGACGCCAACTGCCAACCACCATCAGAAAAAAGGAGACCATAACAATATGTCACCACTTTTTGGTGGTGACATAATTATGTGTCAATTTAGTACATGGTTTTTCCTATCTCAACAATGCTAAAACATCATGATAATTTTAGTGATAGTTTGTGTGTTAATGATTTTACATGGGTCAGTTGCAAAGCTGGGTGAACTCAAGCACAATGTGTCAAATTTCATTTGGACAATCTGGTTGAGTAATGTGTTGATGAACCACTCAACTCATCTGCATCTTTCCTTTTTACGAGGGCTGATCAATAAGTAATGGACACTTTTTACATGGATGCGTCCATTACTTATTGATCACCCCTCGTATTTCTAAATGGCTATCACTTTGTTTGAAATCTAACTTACGAGATCATCCTTTGCCTTCATTTCATTTCTCATCTCCTCCAGTTGTTTTTCTTTCTCCTTCTGTTGTTTCTTCCATGTTTTCTGCTCCTCTTGTCTCACTGTAACTTCATGTAGGGACTTGTTATGTTGGTCTTCTAGAGTACTGAGTTTTTCCTCTTGTTCACTGATGATTTTCTCTAAGTGTTCTAACTCATCTAAAATAGAGAAATAATATTACAGGGAACTGTTATGTTGCTCTTTTTAAGAACTGACTTTTTATTCCAACTTATGTGAAATAGAGATATAATGTTAGGGGCAACAACAATAAATGAATCCCATATGATCATTGAATTAACATGCATAAGGTCATCAATAGAACCATAAAGTCATCCCTTCTGCACATAGGCAATAGACAAAACAGTGAGAACTAATCTGGGGAACCAAGATTCTTTTTACAGTAACCTCCAAATGTTCCCCTCACCATTCAAAGATGACATACCTTGAGAAAATCTATTCTGAGCAGCTTCACGCTCCTCATTGCTGATTGGCTGGCCATCCAAGATGTCTAACGTGCGCAGTTGGAAGATTACAAATGATCGATAATGTGGCACCTTTGTAACTGGGTTTTCTGCAAAGCTGACTTGGGACAAATCCTGTAATGGCCTCAGTTTAGATATTTCACTAAACTAAAATAGACAAATTAAAAATAATTAATTTGCATATGAAATCATTGAATAAGGATATTACACTAAAATCACAAAAATCCATCCTTCATTTTGAAATCTAATTAGCAACGTGTATAAAGTTTTTTTTTAGTAAATGATGAAATGATTAAAACTGAGCTCTAAAAGATTATACCTGTGTATTTAGTAGAAATCTCTCAGCTTACAACATTTTCACAACACTTCCATGTGAACAGTATCACAGTAATTGCCTTTATTTCTAGTATGAAGTATTCTCTTAATGAAATGGGTCTATTCCTTCAACACATAAAAACATGTGAATTCAACAATACTCACAGATCCTATGTTATTCTTGGCACATCTAAATATCCTGAGAGATTTAAGTCTCTTAGCTAACCATACTGGAATATGCTCTATCTGGTTACCAGTCAGGTTCAACACCTACAATTATGTAACTTAAACTTTACTGATCAAATCAAATGTGTTGCCTTACCAACCACTGTACAATCACACAATATTATTAATTGGTTATTAATGGAATTTGTATCCTACTTTATACCTGGTCTTAATTTATATAAACATTTAGCAATACTATAAATTATCTTAGTTTAGGTAGTCTCAAGTATGTCTTGGTTTGGAGAAAAGTCTAATGTGCTAATAATAATAGAACTAACATCCAAAATAAATTATGAATTTTAAAAAGAAGGCATTTAAATCTACAATATGTAAAAATATCAAAATTGCCCGAAGCAGCCGTAACGTGCAGTAGACAAATTCAATAAAAGACAAGTCTCGGTTTGGAGAACAAAGTTCATCAGTCTACTGCATAAATAATATCTTTATGAAAAATATAGAAACAACACCCAGATTAATTTATAGATATTCAAAAGAGGACATTTAAATCTACAATGTGTAAAAATATCATAATTGTCCAAAGCAGGCAGATGTAACGTGCAGTAGACTGATGAACTTTGAGACCGAGACTAATCCTTTCATAACATGTAGTCAAACTAATTAGTGGGTGTTTAGTATGACCATTTCAGTAACCAAAAAGTGTAAAAGAAGGTATAAAATTTACACTTTTGAAGTGCTTTGGTCACAATTGAATGGGTGTGTCTAGTAGCTAGTTAACAAAATGGATAATGCAGAGAATTTTTTGCTGGGTTGATTATTTTATCACAAATTAGGCATATAATTGAGATTATTGAAATAGCACGTATTTAGCCACAAAATATTCCTTTCATATAAATGTTCTTTTAGTTGATTTTGCATAAAATATCCCGAACAAAATTTTCAGTGTAACAGATTATCATGAACTTAGATTTCATACTGAGTAGATGTCTCTTCGAGTTCTACAATGCTTCGTAAAATACTGGCATTTTATCTTTATACATTTTGTTCAAAATTTCCAGTGATTAATTCAATCTAAACATACAAGGGCCGATCAAAAAGTTTCTTAGCGTTTGCCCTCAATTTTATAATAAAAGGAGTTGGAAGCTCAAACTTTAACATGAGACAGGATAGTTAGTTTGCTTGAAACTGTACGAGTTTCATATAAATTGGTTTATTGGTGACACTGTGACACTGAGTCAATTCATATTTTCAATGACAAAGTTAGGTGCAGCAGCGTTATATATAAAATATCTGCTTAATTGTGGTTCTGGAAATTTACTGACATCTTTTCAAACCTCTCATACGAAGGCCTTTAACATGTGATTTTGGATCGAGTGGACAGATATAGGAAATGCATTGCAACTGGGGTTGAATATTTTGAATGAGAATGAATATTAGCAGAAAAACTAATTAAACATGATTAAACTACAGTCTGTTCACAGATGACACTATTTAGTGTTAGAAATTTCCAAAACTGCAGCTTAGCACAATTTTTTATAAAAAACGCTGCTCCACCTCATTCAATCATTGAAAATATGTATCGACTCTGTGTCACTACCAATGAACCAATTTAAATGAAACTCAGACAGTCTCAAGCAGACTTTCTACCCTGTCTTCTGTAAAAAGTTTAAGCATTCAACTTCTCTTATTGTAAAATCTAGAGTTAACAGTAAGAAACTTTTTGATCGGCCCGTGTAGAAAACAAGCACCTACCTGAAGATTCACTAAAGTTTCAAGTCGTTCAATCTTAGAGATCCTTTTTCAAAATGGCCACCTTCTACCAAAAGTGTCATTAGACAGTGTGCCATGCTTATTCATATACCAAATATGAACAAAGTCGCTTCAGTACTTTTCGAGTTATAGTAAAATACGTTAAAATGGCGGCCATTTTTCAAAATGGCTGCCTTCTACCAAGTGCCATTAGACAGTGTGCCATGCTTATAGTATTCACATACCAAATATGAACACGGACAGACAGATGGACGGACAGATAGACAGGCTGCAATAGCTCTCAGCATGTGAGCTCAAAATTGAACCCTTCAAAGACTGTATCAAGCCCCATTAACCAGGGTAAGGGGTACAGGGGTTTTATACAAAGCCCAGAAATGAGGCTTCATCTAACTTTGTTAATACACTTTTTACACATTGCCTTTGATACTGTTTTAGCATCAGCTAATATATAATAATATATATATATGACAATATACTCGTATAATTGTCTCTGGCTTTTCAAAAATATGGTCGAAATAATTTCGAAAATCAATAGAAAGTGAAAGCAAGAGATTAACTGCTAGCAACAATGACTCATAAACAGAAATCAGAATGGCTCTCATTTCAATTTATTCAAAAATACAGTACACAGTGTTGTAAATATGTAAAATTTCAAAATTATAACAACATATATTCTAAATGTAAAATGGATTTCAAGAAATTAATAAATACTTGAGGTCAAAAAGATTATTATATGGTAAGGTAAAAGAATGCTTACAGTGTACCTGTTTATATCAACCTCTCAGTCATAAGATCTTTAATGTGTTCTTTCAATCATCTCAATTTAAATGACTGTAGACGGGAAATGAAATTTTGTAATATCAGAGGTGAGATTTGATTGTTACAGATACTATTCAGGATATAATGAGTTAACTAAGTCCTCGTAATGGGTTGTTTGTAAACCGATTCGCTCACTAAAAGAACATGTACATGTATTAATTACAATGTATGTTCTGTTGGGAAGTGTATGCTTTAGTGTTTGTTTCTTGCCAACTCTGCAAGTTATTTGTATTGTACTCTATTTTGTTTTTCCCGGAAAACAAAATAGTCTCAACCACTGTCCATATTAAACGTAGAAACTGTTGAAAAGAACAATAACCATCAGTTTATTGAATGTTTCATTTCACACGAACTCCTCATTTGTCAATGATTGCCATGCTTTTTGCACACATCTTGTGAGACTCGGATGTAGATGGTTTGTGTCAGCTTTCATTATAGTCTTTATTGAAGAATTGTTCTGATTTCAGTTCATTGATAGAGTCCTTAAAACCCTGGAAATATAAATTATAACATTTAAAATTATATGGACAATATGACGTATTAAATTAAAATCTAATATATGAAATGATCATTCGAGAGCTATAAGCAGCATATTTTATTTTGTCTTTTATTTTGATTTATTTCTTGAGCAACCAACCTGTATAGTGTCTTCTGTATCTTTGGGCAGAGCTCTACCTGAGTAAAACCCTGTTGTATTCTGTACTTCTTGTAGCCTTGACCTGTGACCATCAGTCAACCCTGACCTTTGACTCTCACGTGACCTTGGACGGTTTGCTGAGAAAGATTTATGCCTTGTTGCCATAGTAATACTGCTTGTTGATAAATCCTGTATAAATACAAACTAGTTTTAATGTGTGTGGACAATGTTGGTGTGAAATAAATAATGTTCTTCATAATAAGAAGAAATAAATGTCAGCCTGGCCACAGGAAAAGGGGTCTTATCACAGATTCTATCAATGTTATTATTTTTTGTTTTTCTTAAAAAATACAACGAGACCTTTCAAATGAGCAATGGCTTGTGTCTTAACAATTTTTCCTTGCAGATATAGACCAAACAGAAAGATTTCAATTTAGCACATTTTCCTCTTTATCTTAGGCACATGTTTGGCTCTTTTGGACAATTAAAATTTTTGTGATAAGACCAGTTTTCCTATGGTGAAGCTCAAATTTATAGGATTGGATCAAATGGATAATGAGTCTGGATTTGACCTATCACACATTTGCTGGAATTACACCATGCGTTTTAGAAAGGCACCTAAGGTTTTAACCTGGTTTGAAAAATAGGTGTAATCATGATTGTGGTTTTACAAAAGTGCTTTTCCAAAATCCTAGAACCCTAGTCACTAAAAACGCCTTAAATCATTAGGCCCTTTTGGAGTATAGTGTAATTCTGATGGTTATTTGTAAAACGCCTTATCCGGGTTTTTACCATTTGCCCTAAACGAAATAAGACGTATTTCGAATGCTACACATTTGGGCCACCACAAAAATACAGGAAATGATGGATGGGAGCAAAAAATGCAATAGGTCATCAAATCATATATCGCAAAAATTGAAAGTAAGTTCACATCACTGGCAAAAGTCACTGGCAATGTTTTCTCTTAGATGCTAAAATAATACATTTATTGTAGATGTACAGATGTACACATCTGTTGGATATTCTCCATATCTACATTGTTCAAAGTGCACGAAAGGCGTTTTAGAAATAACAGGTGTGATTCCAAAATAAAATTTCTAAGGTGCTTTAGAATTGTTGGTGTAATCAGGATGGCGATTTTGTAAACCACTTTTAGCATTTTTTCTGGCGAATTCCAGCAATTGTTGTATATGATTGATTGTGTTTTAACTGTGTTTTTTTTTCATTTTGCCATTACTTATACAGGGTGTCCAAGAAGTAACGTCAATGACCCTGGCATTTAGTCATTTATGCTTCAAATGTCATGAAACTTGGTCAGAATGTTCCTTGTACATTTATACATATATATACGAAGTATGGAGTGACTGGCATTTGATTGGCCTATTTTATGGTTGCCATAGTAACACAAGTGCATGGACCCCGGGGCAGTTCAGAATGTACCTGGTAAATATTATGTAAATCAGGTTATTATAAGGTAAAACCTTTGGCAAAAATGAAATGCAATGTCTTGGGACTTTTTCAAATCTTAACGCTTTTATTGTTTATTGGTATTACCATGGTAACACTTCTTTGGAGTACTTTAGAGCAATGAAGAGAAAAAGACCTGGATTGTGCCTTTCACTTCACTGGGACAATGCCCCCGTTCACAAGGCCAGGAACACCGTGGAAGTAATTGAGATACTAGGAATACCCCTACTTGAACAAGCTCCATATTCGCCTGATTTGGCCCCTAGTGACTTCTATCTTTATGGTGCACTGAAGGCTAAACTTGCTGGACAGTCTTTCTCTTCAAATGAGGAACTTAAGAGCTCTGTTCTGTCATCCCTTGCAGAAATGAGCTCTGGTGGTTTCAATAGAGTTTTCTTGGAGTGGGTAAGAAGACACCAGAGATATGTGGAACTTGGTGATGATTATGTAGAGTAACATTCAACTTTAATATAACACTAATATAACGCCAGCAACAGCTATATTATGAATAAATGATGTGTAGTTGAAAACATGATATTTGTGGTCATATTATAAATAAAAGATGTTCAAAACTAGTGTTTATGGTTATTTTCCAAAGATCTTACGGATTGCAGAGGTGCCCCGGGGTCTATGCACTTGTGTTACTATGGTAACCATTAAACCAGCCAATCAAAAGCTAGTAATTCCATACTTCATATTTATATTTATAAATGTACAAGGAACATTCTGACCAAGTTTCATGACATTTGAAGCATAAATGACAAAATGCCAGTAGATAATCCCTGTAGATAAGAAAATATTATTAAAAAATGAAAAATAGGTCATACTTTAGTTGACAGCAGGTCATTTTCTCTGGTAGGCGACTTTGACCTTTCAGACCATGTAGGTGACCTCGACCTTTGATTCCTTGATCTAGAGTTTGACCTTGACCTTGTTAGTTCCCTGATGGCCTTGAGATCTGCTGATTCACCTGACCCAAGAACCTAAATTACAATTCAACATCAAAACAAATATACTAAAACATAAGATGGATTGAAAGTTGGCTAGAATCTCCTATGAGCATTGAGGTCAGTGAATAATGGGACCAAAAAGGCTTGTACCAAAATCTTTTTTGAAAATTATAATCTAAATACATGAAAACCTGACATTTTAAAAATATTTAGCCAGAAGTGTGATGTTGAACTTTGCTCTATATGATAATGTAATTATTTATTCTCCAAATGAAATCAAACGAGAGTTAAAGCTATTAAGGGGTGACTTCAAAATATCAATATTTGATAGTAAATTAAATAAATTAAGGTTTGACCTTTTAATTCCTTTGTACTGTATAAATATCCATCATACATTTTGTATCATTCATAATTTATGATCTGTTTTATGTTCTACTGTAAGTATTTGAATGGGGTAGGTAGCGACTAATTTACATGTTTGGGAAATATTGAAATGTTGAAAAATGTCAGATGGACAACTAAAACATGCATTAGCCCCTCTCCCAAACTAATTTCTTTAGTTTCTTATCAGACATTGATATTCTGATGTTGCCCCTAAAGCAGTTAAACATGTAAAACATTTCATACTGTCACACATTAAATTCATTTTCAGATGAATTTCTTCACTTTTTTCAGTAAAATCTTAAAGGAACCTGCTTAGAACGTTGGAAGATGTTTTAATGGGGCCAATGTAAGAATATAGCCAAGCATTGATTTACAAAATGTATTCAACAGCAAAGCTTATAGTGTTGCAATTGTTACAAAAGGCAACACAAAATATTTAAATTGGAAGCTATTTGGGGTAAGAAAGGAGTAAATGATACTGGTTTTGATGAATTTACATACATCTTGTAGTGTATTGAGCTTGTGCTTTAAACCATCTAATGTGTCAGCAGACTGTTTACGTCCAATTTCTATAGTCTGGGCATGGCGGCTCATCTGTTGCTGAAGTTGTCTCTGAAAAAACACAGAATCTGAATCAAAACCAATTACTGTACAAGTATTAACTCAACCATTCAGCAATTTAACATGGGAATGCATTAACTTACAAAAACGTTAAAAGTCGCAATATGCCTTTTGTTAGAGGCATCTTATGTGGAAACCAACCGCAATTAACAAAAAGTTGAAGACTACAACACTACTATCTGGTGGTGACATAAAAATTGAATCATAAGTCAGTAGTATCCTTACTTTTATATCATCCTGTTGTTGTTGAAACTCAAGGTTTTCTTTGTCTTTTCTGACAGACTTCTCTCTCTCTTTCAATGTGACTTCCCTGGTTGGCACATCGTCAAAATCTTCATGGACCTGGAGACATAAAAATATGTGTTGTTTTTTGCTTTAAAAATATGCATCTTTATCAGTGTTATTGGACTTTGAAGGACATCCATATGGTATGTCTATCTCCAAATCTCTTAATACTTATAGCATGACCTCTCCAATTAAAATGCAGATATTTTTATATTCTTTTAAAAATATTTCATTATACTCTATCAATAAAATACAATGACAATAAATTGTAAATGCTACATTTTGAGTGACGCCTAAAATGCCACTATAATAGGGATTGAATCCCTCTCGTATGACCTGTACTTGATAAGATAATGGAAATAAAATCTCTTTATAAAAATACACTAGGAAATATGTGTTCTTCCTCGAAATGTCTTCATGGTGTAAGCACAACAATTGTGGACATTACATGATGTCTTCATTTTTATTACATCTCAAAGTACCAGCAAGGCAGTTATTTATTAGTTATCTGTTTAAGGTACATTTGAATTTTCTTGATTGTAGACTATAAAGGACTTACTAGTCTTAAGTTCTGTTTTAAAGTCAGCAGATGTTTTTCTATGTGTTCTTTTTGTTGATACAGTATGTCAGTTTCTACTCCTGTGTTGTCAACCAGTCTAGACTTCTCTAACTCCTGTAAACCTTGAGAAACTTCCTGTAAATAGATAAACATCCATATTGCCAATGATATGGGGTTCTTGAGCCTTGTAAACATTGGGAAACGCCATTGCAAGATTCAGGATCAAATTATTAGATGCAATCCTTCGATCTATCTACCTTGAGCAGTTAATTGTTACATCCGGAATGTTGTTATGATGCAAAACTACCTGTTTTAATAAGTTCAAGATGAAGTACAACCATTTTTCTCGACAATGAAACTTATTCTGGTATTATAAAGTAACTATTTCTTTTATAATTTAATACAAACAAAAATGGCAATATATTTACAGAAACAAATCTTAATGAAAATATATCAAACCTCTTTTATATCAGATTTAAGTTGATATAAAGCTTTCTCCAACTTGCTGTCCTTCTCTCTGCTTTGTTCTTTGATTCTTAACTGTGAAACAGAATAGAAAAATACAGTAGACTTTTATATTGTGGTGCAATATTAGCTCTTATCTTAGTCCTAATCTTTGTATTATTTCGACTTCGATTACATATTTACCCCACTCTACAACTGAATCATAGCATTTATTGAACAAATTGTACTTAGGAATGAAAATGTTATAATTTTGTTCAAAATATATAGATACTGATCATTTTTGGTACGGAAATCTTGGTTTCTCAAAATAAAATAGTTGATATTGATATGTTTTCAAATCTAAATGAGAATAATGTAATATTTAAGTGATACATTGTGATACATGTTAACACAGTCAATCTCCAACAGTATTGTATGGTACCATTTTGCTACAGTTCTGTACGGTACCATTTTGCTACAGTACTGTATGGTACCATTTTCGCTACAGTACTGTATGGTACCGTTTTTGCCACAGAACTGTATGGTACCATTTTTGCTACAGTACTGTATGGTACCATTTTTGCTACAGTACTGTATAGTGCTAATTGGGAATGTAATGCTGATACCTCTCTTTGTAGTGCTATGTATTGAGTGTGGAGATTATTTAGTTCTTCAGTCAGTCTATTAGCCCGTTGACAGTGGTCCTGTGATAAGGTCTGAAGTTCTTGTATTTGGCTAGCTGCAGTTCGTTTTTCCTTCTTTAATTCCTAAAATAGTAACAGTACATAATGAAGCTATTTTGGGTCATCCATACTGGGATATATGGGATTTGTTTTTCTTATGACTGCTATACACTTGAGTTTGCTTTTTTGCAAGGTTCAACAGATTTTGGTTCTTTCCCTTTGGTACTTGTGCTTAGATATTTTATTCTACAAAGGGACCGAATAAAAGGGCTACCCTTATAAAAAATTCAACCTTGAAAGTCCGAATTTAAACCGTTTCCACCAATCATTGATTAATGATTGTTTCAACTACCAAGATCAAAGGAAAAACCATTGTACGATGATAAGCAATCATTGTGCAACCATTGTGTTCAACCAAGCGAAGTCAACTCTTTTTCAACGACTGCGCAACCGTTTCTATACAATCATTGTAATCTGCAACCATTGTAAACTGCAACCATTTCACATTGAAATGTAAATGGTTGCAATTTGTTTTGTTCAATGATTACATAGTTCAACCCCTGCAACCACCCTGAATTAGTATCGTTCAAAAAAATAATCATTTTACCTGAATTAAAATTATCTTTAAGTAAGGATTTGAATCTACCTCTATTAAACAATAGTATATTAGGATCTTTTTTCTGCAAGCATACATGCATGTTTATTATAGTAAATAACTTAATTCATGTTAATATGTTTCTTTCTCCAGTACGAATTTAGGAATGCAATACCAGACTAGTTTTCCACTCAATGGCATATGATAATTTATGTTCTCTGTCATTTACATTATTTACACAAATTAAAAGTTCCATATTTAGTGTTTATTTCCCTTTATCAGATATTGCCAAAATGATGTAAATTATGAAAAGAATTGAGCAAAATTCCAATTTGGTTAAGAAATTGACCAAGGAAAATCTTAAAATTTCCTTTAAACTTAACAAAATCACAAGATGAGACACAATGGTTTTTGTTCATGATCAGACTGATGATCAAAAGAAGCAGGATATGATGTACAAAATAATACAAACATATGTAATCACAAGTTGATTGCTTTATTAAGTGAAAATGTTTTTATAGTAATAATGCATTCAGGCAGCAGAGACTTACTTTTCAGAGTTTCAACTGGAAAACATCTGAATTAGTAATTTCAGTAAAATTTGGTCAAGGTAGATGAATTATTGCTACACCCATGATATACAAATAGATTGGTATGGGATCATATTGATGCAGTATGATAGATTTGTATGGGAACATATTGATATCGGAGGGTTTAGCTTAGGACCCCCGCAAAAGTTTATATACAGGCCAGTAGTCAGCCCCCCCCCCAGCAAAATGGGTCTTCAAATGTATCCATATATCTGTAGTTAACACCTAATATCAAATGTATGGCTCACTAAAATTTAAAAAATACAAACAAGAGAACTATTTTGATTCACATTATTCACAACAGATTTAATTACCATGTTCTTTCTTGGCAAATATTTTTTATAACAATGCTCAACACAACAATTTAACTTACTACATATTGATATTCTCATGGGTTTAGGCAAATCAGAATGCTTGAACAGCCAATTAAAACGGTTGAACAGCTAATTAAAACGGTTGAACAGCTAATTAAAACGGTTGAACAGCTAATTAAAATGCTTGACCAGAAATAGGGTTCATATTCCTAGTTTCTGTTATATCTATTTTCATATTGTGTTATACTATATATTTATTTTTATTCTCTATTTCATGCAGAGGGGGGGGGGGTAAAAATCTAAAAAGTGTTTTCAGATTTTTGAGGGTATACTTCTTTGTTCAATTACTTTAATAAGTGCTGAAAAATCTCAAATAGCAAGTATATGAAACTGCAAATACTATTTTCAGAATTTTTTATTTCATTTAAATTTAGTTTTTTTACCATGGGCATTCAATAAATTGAAAGTTCATGGCTTTACTGTATTCACTAGGGCATAGCATTTGTACTGAAACTTGTTTTCAGTTTAAATAATATGTGTCAATGATTAAAAAATTAAAAAAACAGGGCTTATTTTTCAAAACTCTAAACTTGAAAAAATCTGGAGGAAAATATGGGCAATTTTCTTTGGCAAATTATTTATCATGTTCTGTGTATGGAATAATGAATTACATAGGATGCTTCCTTTATAGCAGACTCTAATCAAACTGAGAGTCTCTTTGTTATAAGGTTTGTTTTGCCTTGTGGAATTATTTTTTTTTGTTTATGGATTAATGGATTAATAAAGTTTCTTTAGACACATCCTTCAAAGCAGACTCTAATCAAACTAAAGAGACTGAGTCTTTCTGTAATCAGAATTTTTTAAGTAATGCTTATTGACTTAATTATTTAAAACACATCCTGTAATGTCTGATTGCATTTTCTCTATCAAATCAAAAATATCAAATCAATAAACAGATTATTTTCTGATTGAAGAATTTCTTCCTTCCAGACAGATCTTCCCTCCTTTATAATTGTGATAATTACTCAGGTGAAGGTGAAGTATAAGTGTCTGAATTTGTTAAAGTCAAGACTTGACCCAATCAAAAGAATTATTTCAAATGTTTTTGCAATAACTTAAAAAGTAGTGAAGGGATTTTGTAAAAATGATTGTCATGACAGCGAGGGGATTTGCTATGCCTTAGCATTGCTGTTATCTAGATAATATACATGTGAGTGGGACAATCACCATCCTTCAAGGTTAGATGGAAATTGGTTCAATATATTTTCATTCACAAGACAAGTCTACTAAACTATTTCAATACTTTCAATGTCTTTTTGATCAAAAGAATTTAAATTCTGACATGTATGCATGAAATACATACATTTGAAATATATATTTTAAAGAGCAATATAATTATTTTATGTTGTATTGAGATAATATTGCCATAGGTTTAAAGGGTTGCATTCGATTGAAACGGTTGCAAGAAATTCAATCAAAATTGTCAAGCGTTTACAATGGTTACATATGATTGAAACATTTTCAATGAGTTTACAACCAAAATTGTAATGGTTGCATTGTAACGGTTGCCATGGTAGCATAAATGATCGGATCAATGATTGTGCAACAGTTTAAATTCGGACTTTCAAGGTTGAATTTTTTATAAGGGTACATACACAAAAAGTAGAGCCAAAACAGTGAAGACAAAGACAGTTGAAAAAAATTACATTAGGCTGCAACAATGATGATTTTAGTTACCATGAGTGTGTAGAACATTCAAGGCATAAAGGAGTTAAAAAAAAGTAATACAAAATCTGTGAAAGGGGACATAGAAATAGAGGTTTTTGCAGTAACAACACAATTACCTCGAAGTTATCCGTTATGAGAGGCTGAGGACTAATCTTGACATAATTTTCAATCTAAGATTATCAGTAGTATCTAATTTAAGCCGGACAGCCACTCAAAATGTATATGGAGACCATAAGATACATTTTTCTCAATTGAAGTCACTATTTCCGTTTTTACCTTCAGAGGATAGGAGGTACATGAACATGCTAAGTTTACCTAGATCACAAGCCTAACCACAAATATAAAGTATATAGGAATAGAGTTGATATGTGTGAAAACCTTAAACTTCCCATTTTATTTGGGATAGAACTTGTGGACCATGTGTATTTCTAACTTCTTCACATGTGCATGGATCTAAAATTGTGGCAGCCATCTTGGATTTGTCATATTATGTGGACATGGTTTTGGTTGTGCTGAATTTGTTTCAAAATAACATTTCTTGTATATCTTCGATAAGTGAGATAGTCATTTGAAATTAAATACAGATAGTATACTTGACATTTAATGCAGTAAACAGTAATACAATTCATTCTTACATAATAAGTGAGTCCAGACAAAAAGTTGTTATTGTGTTAGTTTAACTGGACATAAATTACACTCATTGGCCTTGGTTTTCTTATTTGGCTTGGATAAAATGTTGTTCTATTTATTCAGAAAAGGAGTATAGTTCAATATACAAGGTCACATTCATTCCATCTTCTTGTGGAAATGAATCTCATATCATTTCATCACAAATATAGAACACAAAAAATATAATAAAAAACAAGTTTCTATTAATTGCAAAAGTTAGCTTCAATGTCATGACTGAGTTTGGGTTCCGCTTCTAGGGAAAAATATCCATCTGGAAATATCGTATAGACCATTGCTATTCACTCCATATTTAATCCTCCCAGTAAATAACATTGATATACAGTATACAAGTATATATGACATCGATGATCTGGGGTTTGGGTAATGTGAGACATGAGGCCACTTGTCTTTTTGAATCTCATATTCAATATTCTTTCTTTAAACCCTCATATTTAATATTTTTGGAGTGGTAATTCAAGTATGTACCTATTTTTTATTCTTTATCCCATAGTTGAACTCTGTTCCGCTCTGCTAGGTAACATGAAAACATATTTATGATATTTTGCAAATGCGCATCCTCCTTAGCAGGCTTCAAGAATCCGTACCTCCTTCTTACAGTAAAAGTGCTACTGTAGAAAGGAAGAAGATATTCTGGATTTTGAAACCCTGCGTACGGAGGATGGCAAATGCGTGGAAAAAGTGATATCTGTGGAATTAGGAAAATATTTCACAGATATCACCGGCAGGGATTTGAAAACTACCACCAATATGATATGTTTTGTTACATAGTGATTTTATGACATCAAGGGGATGAATGAATGAATGGATGTTGTTTTGATATGCTTTGTTTAGTTTTAGAGGTGAACTATGGGAAAAATAGAACATCCTATGAATTTTCGTGATATTGTGTTAATCCAACTCATTGATATCAATATCTGCGCTAATTCGCTATGCTAACTATATTGATATCAACTCGGAGATAAAGATAAAATCATTTAAAATCATATGATATCCTATACATATCCTTTACTGTGCCACAACTTTCTCATATGTTATATATTTTGGCACAGGCCATCATTTATTAGGAGGCCCCAACCTCCTATTAATTTTATAGATATTATTATTATTATTTATTCTTCTCTGCACTTTTTCTCCTACTTTCAACTAGATTTCAACTATCTACTATATAAACCTACAAGGGACCTAGGTTGAACTTAAGGGGAAAGGAATTTTTATCTAGGTCAAGGTCAAAATCCAGGTCAAATCTAAGTTTTTTTTAAGTTTCTCAAATCCTGACACTACACTTCAATATTTTTGGCTGAATTTTTGCATACAGATAGATATTAGTATTCTATTAGTCTTAGCCTTTTGCCGTCTAGAGAAATTCTGCCTAGATTTTGAGATATTGAAGGTCAAAAAAAAGTCAAAAAAGGTCTTTTTTCAACTTGCTTCAAATTGACCAATTTTTTTTTTAAAACTCATCTACAAGTTCTCAGGATTCCAAATCTGACCTTACTTTAGACCTGTGACCTTTGGTTGACCTTCAGTGACCTTCGAAAGGTCAAAAAAGTTGATTTTTCAAATTGATTTTCTGGATTCAAATTTAGGTACATTTGATCACAAAAGACCCACTGAGGTCTAAAAAAGTAAAATTTGCAAGGTCAAAGGTCAAGGTCATCAAACTAAATCACAAACTGTGTTTTCTAAGTTTCTAAGTTTTGGTGACTACAAATCAATATTTTTTCATGAAAGTCAGGATATATATTCCTCTATAGGTTCTACACATATTAGCAATTGACTATTTATTAAAATTGTGTACCAGTTTTGAGATATTAGAACTCAAAAACTGAAAAAAGGTCAAATTTCGAAACTTTTCAAGACTAAATTTCAACTTGCTTCAAATTGACCAAATTTTTTTTTAAAACTCATCTACAAGTTCTCAGGATTCCAAATCTGACCTTACTTTTGACCTTTGACCTTTGGTTGACCTTCAGTGACCTCCGAAAGGTCAAAAAAGTTGATTTTTCAACTCGATTTTCTGGATTCAAATTTAGGTATATTTATTCACGAAAGACCCGCTGAGGTCTAAAAAAGTAAAATTTGCAAGGTCAAAGGTCGAGGTCATCAAATGAAATCACAAACTGTGTTTTCTAAGTTTCTCAAAATTGGAGACTACAAATCTATTTTTTTACTGAAAGTCAGAATATATATTCCTCTAAAGGTTCTACACATATTAGCAATTGACTATTTATTAAAATTTTGCTCCAGTTTTGAGATATTAGAACTCAAAAACTAAAAAAAGGTCAAATTTCGAAGATTCAAGGTCAATTACAAATTTCAACTTGCTCTAAATTGACCAAATTTTTTTTAAAAAGCATCTACAAGATCTCAGAAACTCAAATCTGACCTTAGTTTTGACCTATGACCTTTATTTGACCTTCAGTGACCTTCGAAATGTCAAAAAGTTGATTTTTCAAATTGATTTTCTGGATTCAAATTTAGGTTTATTCAATCAGAAAAGATATACTGAGGTCTAAAAAAGTAAAATTTTCAAGGTCAAGATCATCAAACAAGATCACAAACTGTGTTTTCTAAGTTTCTCAAAGTTTGTGACTACAAATCAATATTTTTGAACTAAAGTCAGGATATATATTCCTCTCAAGATTTTACACATATTAACAATTGATTAGCTATTTAAATTCTGCCCCAGTTTTGAGATATTGGACCTCAAAAACTGAAAAAGGTCTAATGTTGAAATTTTTCAAGGTCAAATTTCACATTGCTTCAAATTGACCAAACTTTTTTTTTAAAATCATCTACAAGATGCCTGGAGTTCATATATGACCTTGTTTTTAAGATTTGACCTTTGGCTGACCTTTAAATGTTCAAAAAAGCCTACGGGGCCTCCGTAAGATTGCTTGCAATCTTATACATCTAGTTTTCCTTGAATTCATGCTTTTGTTCCTCGTTTTAGAAATGAGAGGAAATCTTTGATTTTCCTTGTATTTAAGTTGCTTAAATGTTGCCCTGTGATGTTGATAAAAGTCAATAGTAATCCATTACAGTCACAGTTGAAATGTACCCATTGCTAGCCCAGAACCTACCAAAATAGCATTTGCATTTTGTCAATATTGCCCTTTGTGCTTTTCCATGAAAATAATTTTAATCGTATCTTTTCTTCAGTATTTCATATATTACATTTTAATATATTTAAAATGGTTAATATTTATTTACTATTTACTTAGACAACAATAAATAAAGAATTTTTTTTTAAAAACACCAAAATGGTATATGATCTTTAAATGACTTGTGTGAACATCAAAGGTCAAAATTTGCTGAAATTGTATTTTTATAAAGCACAAAAGATTTTTCTTCAATATGATATGCATTATTATCAGATATCTTTGGGGGCTAAAAAGGGCCCTTAATGACACCCGTCCTTTATAGTTCTTGGAGGTTTTGAAGTTGTAGATGCTGAATGATTTTACAAAATACAGTATAGAGTAGTGATTATAATCCACTTCAGTTAATGTGATAGAACAGGAAATAAATGTGAAATAAAGTTTAGCACACTACCTTTGTCGTCGCACGTAGTTGCTCCCTGACTGCCTCTAATTCAGATTCTAAATCATGGATTTGCTCCATCCTTAAGACACCATCCTATATAAAGGAAATAAAGTGATCAAATAAATAACTTTTTGTTAAATTGCTAAAACATTAACATAGTAGATACAGTCCAATTATAAAGATAACAATTTCAGAAATTTTTTACATTCTCAATATTTTATAATCTTCATACAGCAAAAGGAATTTGATTGATGAACTCAGACGATTCATGGAATTAATCATATACAGGGTGTCCTGAAAGTATGCCCCCCTTGGCAGACATATTCCAATGTCTCCATAGTATATGTCATATATTATTTTAAAGCTACAAAAGTTACATTGATTTGTACATATCATAATAATAAAAAAGTCCAAATGTTGTCCAACTAGGATCATATTAACAATTAATTTCAGCCTACCTGTGTTATCTGTGCTCTTAAATTCTGTAGCTCTACATAAGACATATTCAAGGCCTCAGATAACTGGTTCTTTTCTGTGGTCCTCTCGACAATTTCTTGTTCTGAATGAAAATATTCAGGAACTTTAAATTACTCTTTAACATATTAATGGTAAAATTATTGTCACTTTAAACAACTTTTTAAATAACTCTTATTTGTTAAACAGTGGTAGAGACACTATAATGAGCTCACTATACAGACTCATAAACCAAAAAACAATAAACTTATTTTAAGTCACTCTTTCTTCACGAATAATTTAATTGTCTGAGTTGTCTTATCAATTGCTTTTCTTTTCTCTCTCTCCTTTCTTTTTGGCTAAGGCAATTTGTTATTAAATGTATACATGACCTACCCAGATCCTTGACTCTGGATTCTAGCTGAATGTATTTCTCCTGTGTTCTCCCGAGCCTTGATAACTCAGTCTAAAACATACATGATACATGAGTGTTAATTTTTGTGACAGATTTGTGCATTTATTAGTCACACTCTACATCACTTAAGCATAAATGGCAAACTTTCTTCACGAGACAATGTCAAGGAAATTTAGTCATTTTTTTGGAATTAAAGGTCTGGGTACCTGTTATCATGATTCTGAATTATTTCTTAATAAATGTGAATCCGTTGCGTTGAGTGGTAAATTCAATTCAATTTATTAGTCTAATTAAGATTAACACAAGTGTTATTAAGATGCATATAAGGGAGGTGATAAAATGCAGTGCATTAATGAATAATACCAAAATGAAATGAAACCATATAATAAAAGGTAAAAATAAATGAGTGGATTTTTTTTAAATTGTGTTCCATTTCTACCTTTGTGTTTTCAAGCTGTGCATTAGTGCGATGCAATTCATCTTTTTGGAGAGCAGTTTCGGACTGAATGCTGCAAAGATCCCTATTGGCCGAGCTAAGCAACTGAAGTGAAGGTGCATACATGTGAATAAAAACAATAAAAAAGGAACCTCATAAAATTGAAAAGTAGAGAAAAATAGTGATATATTAGTAGGGAATAAAGCAAACATACATAAACTGAATGGCATACATGAGGAACTTAAAGAAATATGATGTGTATACCACTTTAATATGAGGTTCACATGCATAGAAAAACCCTGCTGCTCACTAAGTTCCACATTGCATGATATATTTTGGGTTAAACTGATTTTAAGGAAATGAATTTGAATGATATTTTTGTAACAATGCAGAATAACCATTGTAAATAACAGCTCAAATGACTGATGGTTGGATTTCAAAAATATTTTTTGGAGTGAATTTGAAGACATTTATTCAATACTGGTTATTTGCTTGCAAATTGACTTTAATGTAATGTTTGAGATAGATGTCGCATCATACATATTGCTAGTTTTTGAAATAGCCGTCAGAGGCGGGGCATAGTGAACAAAATTTTTGGTTGGTGACACACGTAGATAATTTTCAGCAATTTTTTAAAGATTTTAAATTCAATGTCTGAAACAGAACAAGGGGCAGTAGTCCAGAAATGTAGCAAATGTAATAACCCTATTAGGGGACATGAAGGACCATACGGGCCGAAATGTAACGTTTTCAAAACGGAATATTCTGAATATGATGATGACGTGGCGTCCGTGGATAACAAAATGGACGACGAAGCGCCACGCCCAGAACCCTGGATGGGAGCTATCATGCAGTTAAGCACTAGTAGTCCATTTTTAAACCAACCAACTTTTGAGGAATTTCTAAAAGGAATTACAATAAAGTTAGATACTTAAATTATCAAATCAACGCCTTTTACATAAGTGTAGGAGTGGTAGTTGGTTTACAGATAGAAAGAACCAAAATGGGACACACAGACAAACTGCCTATTTAATACTAAGTGGGATAAGTATTAAGAATTATCTTACAAAAGTGATAACACTCAAATGAGGTAAGCCATGTACAAAACAAAAAACATTAGTAGCAGGCAAAAATAATAGCAAAAAAACACCACGATGCATTGTAGTGCACATATGCAAAATGTGTAAAAACTAAAAATGAATAAAAAAGTAAAAACATGCATGTAATTAAAACAAAAGTTAGCAAAACCATGACTCAAAAAAAGCTCAAAACAAACGTGACACATCAATAAAATAAAACATGGGAATTCAAATATATGTATTGTATACCTCTGTGTGCACTTTTGATTTGTATAAACTTTTCTGCTGAAATCAAAATTTGACTGAGTTTTTATAAAATAGACTTTAAAAGAATACCTCTGTAATTCGTGTTTCCTCATTGCGAGCTCCCTCACGAACTCTAGATAATGTCTGGAAAATATGAGACATGACATTTTGTAACCTTTCTCTCCCTTTACAGCATCACAAAATCACAATAAGGGAACTAATCTAATGTAAACACAATATGGAAATAACTTTCTTCCACTGACCCACCTCTCTGCCCTCTAGATTTCTTTGTTGTAAATCTGCAATCTGCCTCTTGACGTCCTCTAACTGTAATTCACTACGATCCTTCTCTCTGAGGTTTTCATCACATTGGGCTTGAAGGTTTCTGATTGTGTCTCGCATGGAAGTAATTTCTAATGACATCTCTTGCTTCTGACTGGTTAAGAGTTTCAAATCCTGAAAATGGAAGTAATTGGTTATTTTTGGCTATTGACATATCAGTACGCATTAGTCAAATAAATTAATAACAAAAATATATTTCTATACCATACCTCTTCTAGATCACTATGTGTTTCTTTGACCTCATCTAGTTCATCCTGTTTGGATCTTGCTTCAACTTTCTGGTCTGAAATATTAACACACATACACATTGCATTAATTTTTTATAAACTACTTATCAGGAAACTTTGTTTCGAAGACTATCATTAACAAAATATATGAAGTGATGGTACGTGTACTTGCAATAAATAAAAAAATTTTGCCAAAACCAACAGTGTTTCATATTACATTTGAAGAGCAATGTAGATATAGCCTCCTCCCTTTGGTGAAAACAACTAAAACCATGTTGTTCAATATTCTTAAAGGCAAAAGATTCACAGTTCTAAAGAAGAACAGTAGAAGATGTATGTACAGTAGTAGGATAATACACCTTTCACATGTTTTCTTAATGACTGGAGGTCACGCTGAAGTGCTGATTTTAATGATGTCATCTCTTCAAGCTCAGCCTCTCTCTGTGTTACTTCACCATGCAACACATCATGTCTAGTCTGTTCTGTCGATATCTTGTCTTCTATCTGAATATACCTTCTGATTAAAAAAGAAAATATGTACATTGATTAGGGAATTCTTCCTTCAACTTTTCCAATATCTGGAAATGTTTTCAAAAATTATTCAAATAGACAACAATTACACATGTACCTTTCAATTATTTTTTGGAGAATATGTATGTGTTATCAACTTCACATAATTAACAGTTATATCAGAGCGGACTAGAATTTCACAGTAAACTTTAGAGATGCAGAATCTTGAATTTCAATTCCTTTGGACAGATTTTGAGAATAAACAAAATGTAATTTAGCTTCATAAGCTTCATTTCTGTTAAGAGATATCTACCAAATCAAGTTATCAACCAAATCCATTGACAGGCATTTGAGTTATTGTCTGGCCAACAAATATCCCCTACATCACTAACTGAACTTTTAAGAGATAATACTTTTTAACCTCAAGTTCAAGCTGTTATGATTCTCTCAAAACCGTCTTCATTCAATGATCACATATTTCTAGTAAAAATACACTGTTGCTCATAAATATGGAATATTGGATTTGGCTCCTCAGAATTCAAAGTTTGGAGTAAGAGAACATTTATTTGGAGTTGGTTCAGACATTTATTTTCTAGGCAAATCATAACCACATATTTCGTCTACAGATCAACATTTTTTAGAAAAAAAATATTCACAGTTTAGTTTAAAAAATTACTGTTATTTAAACAGGGGAAACGTAAGAAATTTTGCATTTTCAAAACACCCCGATCCAAATCATCCTGTAAAACAGATCAAACAAAATAAACATCTGGTCATTAAGATTGAAGTGTCCTCTATCCAATGATAGCACTAATATGCGTTATGTTATGTCCTCTTTATCCTGCAATTTTTTTTTTTATTAAGAAATATTTATTGCTTCATAAAAATATCATAATATAAATCCCTTCAGTCGCCCGAAGGCATTATAGAAGGGTACATTAATAGCACAAAATACAAAATTATGATTAGGTCAAGGGGTTCACTCTGCACTTGTGGTTGGCCATGGGGTGGAAATATTAAGTGTGGATAATATAAAATAAAGTATAGTATATAAAGTATGTAGGGAGGCGAAAACGTTATAGGTTCATTTCAATGAATTCAGCGATTGAGGTTTGGAGATGTGAATTTAGATCAAGGGAAATATTGTCCGAGCCATGTTTCATTAAGTAAAGGAGATCATTCTGAGTTAAATGATTATCTGATAGTCCAGTTATATTAATAATATCAGTTTTTAATTTTGTTATCTTTTCTTTAATAAGGGGACACTGAAAGAAGAAGTGTTTTTCCGTCTGGGGGGCTCCACATTTACAGTTTGGATTCTCAACATAGGTGAAGTTGTGAGCATAAAGTTGGGCTTTGAAAAGAAGATCAGCTCTAAATTGGTTAATCAAAATTTCATGAGATCTTTTTAGATTGAGTTTGGAGGTGCTAATAAAACTTTCTTGGTTTTTAAACAAAATCTTTTGGTGTTTTTTAAAGGATTGGAGAGTATTCAAATTACGTAATCGTTTTGGTAGTCGTGACCATTTTGATATTGCTGATGGAACTGATGAATTCAAGAACCTCTTTGAGCATCTGGTTGGTAAATTAAATTCAGATCTATCACACAGATTGCGTGTTCCCCGATTTTTGAATTTATCAAAAATTTCATCTAAAAAGGGTGGATTTGGACCATTTACAACTTTAAACATAAAGTTGTTAATTTGCATTTTTCTTCTTGTGTCTAGAGAAGGCCATTGAAGGAGATTCAAAACTTTATCAGTATTACTGCCATGAAGACAACCAGAGCACAAAAGAGCAGCCTGATAATAAATTTGATCAAGTCTATTTAGAAGATATTTTGATGCCGTGTTAAAAATAGCAGTACCATAATCAAAATGAGGTCTTATAAATGAGTTGAAAAGCGTTTCCAGATCTCTTGAGTTTAACTTTGTTTTAAGGTTCTTCAGGGGATTTATCATTTTCCTAACTTTATTATATATTTCTTCAATATGGTTTTGATTGGTCAGATTATGATCAAAAGTGTATCCAAGGTGTTTATGTACATTTGTTCTTTCGATTTCAGAGTCACTTAGAAAGGATTTGCTTACATTTTGAGGATTTGCTCTAACTCCATGGAAAATAACTTCACAGCTCTTTTCTGGTTTAAATTGTAATCTCCACAATTTGGACCAATTTTCTATCTCAGTTAGATCGGATTTAACTAGTTCATCAATTTCTTGGGGCTTTTTGGGATCAAAAATAAAATGAAGAGATGTGTCATCTGCATAGATATAGCATTTGGAGTTTACATTATCAGGAAGGTCATTAATGTATAAAATAAATAGAAGAGGGCCTAAAATTGATCCCTGTGGCACGCCACAGTTTAGGAAGCCAGCTTCAGTTGTTACTGATGACTCACCAGCAATGTTTACAAAAAACCGCCTATTTGTCAGATATGATTTTAGTAAATTTAGAAGTTGTCCATGAATACCGTAGGCCCTTAGTTTGTGTAGAAGTAAGTTATGCGGAACACGGTCAAAAGCAGCTGCAATGTCAAGAAAAATGGTTTTAGAGGCTTTGCCTTGGTCAAAATTGGTAAGTAAAAAATGTTCAATTGCCATTAGCTAAGAATGGGTGCTATGGCCTGGTAGAAAGCCAGACTGATACTTGAACAAAAGATCATTTGAAATTAAGTGTTTTTTGATTCGGTCAGCTATAATTTTCTCAAACAATTTTGATAATGTATTGAGTAATGTTATGGGTCTGTAGTTACTAATCTTGGATTTGTCCTGTTTTTAAAAATAGGACATACACTGCAAATTTTCCAAGTATCAGGAAAAATATTCTTGGCCATTAGTTTGTTGAATAGTTCAGATAGTGGTTTAGAAAGTGAGTGTGCAGTTAAATTTAACATTTTATTTGTTATCTCATCTGGGCCACAAGCTTTGGAAGGGTCAAGAGTCAAAATTAACTTCATAACTTCAAACTGATCAGTTTTAGCTGAAATCAGCAGTGAGTTTGTTTTCATTGGAAAGTCTGGTAAAAAGTGATTATCATTTTCGTCTAGATGATTCTTATTCGCAAAAAAAGTATCCTGCAATCAGAGCATCAAATCTACGGGACCAGCATAGAATGAAACATCTGACCTGTCTAAGTGAAATAAGACCCATTAGTCACTCTGGGCAGTGTGTTACGTGTCTAAATTTTGAGGTGGAGGTCCAAGTCACGAATCTCATTACCAAGGTCATCCCACATTTGCTCTGCATTGGCCTGATTGGCTGACTTTTGTGCCCATGGTAGCTAGTCCACAATGCCTGCCCTGATGTAATCCAACACGATGCCACTAGCATATGCATCAGCATGATCATTCTGCAGTTGAATGTTGCCCCAAAACACTCTGTTTGCATGTGGTACTTGATGGAGGTCCAAAAGGTCAAATTACTCTGAAATTTTGTTTGGGAATCACCAAGGGGGTGCAACTTTTGTAGTACTGCTCTTAACAACCTCTGTAATACTGCTCCAAGCATAAATACGCCTTCATAGACTGCCACATCAGTAAGTGTCCTTATTGTCTCTTTCCCCTGGTCTACGACAGAAAGGAACACAATTATCAACTTTGTGGAGGACACATCTTATTTCTTCACATGCTGTCATATGACACAAAAGATTAAGTCCAATGTTTTGGTGCTTTCCTGCCCATTAAAGCACCTCTCTTTGTTATGATCAGTCAGCTGTGGTCCCTTTGAAGGTCTCATGGCCTTGCATCCATTATAAAGAAATCACTGGTTGTCTATAGCTCTGAGCCCTCATTATCCGGTCAGTGCTAAATTAGCGTTGCGATTTGCGTTGCGCTTGCGAATCAACATTATTCGCAAGCGCAAATCATGGTTTGCGTCGTATTACGCGCTTCACGCAAACGCAGACGCAACAGTATGCTAATCGCAAATAAATTGGAAATGCGGGAAATTTAAATTAGAGCTCAAAATAGATTTATCGATTATGACGTAGCGGGCAGATATAAAGCCAAGTACAACCATGGGACAAGTTGGGACTTCCCTAACCTAGCCGATTTTGGGGTACCCTGAACGCACTGTTTCTGTTTGTTTTTTCTGAAGGATTTCAGATATGCTTTCATTTAATGTATCAAATAATTGAATGTCCGCCATCAAAATATTTCACTACATCGTCTGAAAGATGGGTATGACGTTATGGAAAAATGCCTCAATTTACCCGCTTCGCTAAAACAGGCTTGCGGCATTTGATAAGCTGAAGTGTTTTGATGTCAATTATCTTCCATTGGTTGTGACCCCTTACCCAAGTTCGGCAATAAAATTGATGCCATGTCGAATTGTGGGATTTTGGAATCTATGACGTACTGTTTCGATCATATGACGTATTGTATGAAGCCCAACGACCAACATATAGCAATGGGGCAAGGTGGGATTTGATGGGACCCCGTAGGGCTCGATGAGGCATAGATAGGAGTCGATGGGGCAAAGTCATCAGGGCAAGATGGGACTCGATGGGTCAAGTAGGATTTTGCCCCATTGATGTATACTGGGCTTTAACATTGCGTGGGATCTCGTGGGACCTATTGGGATTTTGCTCCATGAGGTCCGTGGGGCTTCATTGGACTCTGATTTTGCCCCATCTTGCCTCATCGAGTCCCATGAGGTCACATGAGGTACCGCGTGGGACCAGGTGGGATTCGATGGGGCAAAATTCGACGTATTCCAATGGGCCAAGGTGGGATTTGATGGGACTCCGTAGGGCTTGATTGGGCATGATGGGGACTCAATGAGGCAAAGTCATCAAGTTCCCATGGAACACCGTCGTTATTCGATGGGAAAGTTGGAACTCAATAGGGCAAGTGGTATTTTTGCCCCATTGGTGTATACTTGACTTTATATATTAGCCCGGTCAGAAACACGCTGAAACACGCCCAAGTATGGTATAATTAGTTTTATCCATTTAAATCTCAAGGATGTAAAAATATTTATCCCATACTTGGACGTGTTATAGGTACATAAAGCTGGTTTGTAAAAACTTTTATTCCATACTTAGTAGTGTTATAGGTATATAACATGCGGGAATATAACTGATAAGTGACGTGAGGGGGAGATATATATATCTCCCGCTCAGCAGATCTACGACGTCATAAATTCAGGGAGTAGATACTGAGCCAGGGGACTTTGCTATTATTCCTCACAATCTACTAAGTATAGAATAAATCAGTTATTAAATGCTCGATTTCTGATACAGGGTATATCTGAGGGAAATACAATATATCAACCCTCGGCCCCTACGGTCCCTCGGGTTGATATATTGTATTTCCCTCAGATATACCCTGTATCAAAAACCTCCCATTAAATAACCTCTATATATTTTCATCAGCGGTCAGATATAGCTATACGTCCCACTCTGAGCGGGCAGATATAGTATATCTGCCCGCTGACGTCATAATCGCCGTTCGCATATTGGTTCATTTTTGTAACATGCGCATAATTACTGTAAACGTTAATGGAGAAAAGGCAGACAATCGCGATCTGTTTGAAGGAAGGAAATGAGCGTATCCCTGTTAAACAAGGATTTCAGAAATAAATGTGGATGAATATCTGAAAATCAGGCTATTCTAAATGAATTCTTACGGATGGTTGGACATTTTCTGAACTCCGGCCAATTGAACAGCGTGAACAAAATGACCAAGATTGGTATGGGATAAACAGATCATCCTATAGTCGGTTCATGATATTGGGATTAAATAAATGTGGATGAATATCTGAAAATCAGGCTATTCTAAATGAATTCTTACGGTTTGTTGGACATTTTCTGAACTCCAGCCAATTGAACAGCGTGAACAAAATGACCAAGATTGGTATGGGATAAACAGATCATCCTATAGTTCAATATCCTGAACCTCATATAGGATAATCTCTATTTATCCCATGATACTACTAATTCCCGATGAATAACCAGGAATATTTTTGATATTGAGAAAAAATCGTATTGAAAATTTTTGCCAAACAAAGCTTCCTCTTTCAATCAGTTGGGTCGATATAGCATGCTAAAATGATGTTCGAAAACGAATTCCAGTTTTATCATCATCGCTCTGACACAGACAAAAATGCTTACGTATTGCTGAATGTTTTGATGTTGATGTGTTTATGTTACACATGTACAATAATTTTTTTATATTTAAAAATATCATAAAGCTAAGTCATATTTTCTTGATTAAATATACCACTTTTTCATAGAAAAATCTAACTAATGATTTTATGAAGACAGTTATGAATATCATGGAATAAAAAGCTAATTTACTGGTCGGGATTAAATATGGGTTTATTCCTCATGACAATTTGATATTTCACATATTGTGAGGGACAATTTGGTATTTCCCTCTGACCCTCCGGGCTCTCGGTAAATATCATATTGTCCATCATAATAAAACCCATATTGAATCCCTCCCACTACATAACCTATATATATCTTGCGAAAATCTAGATCTGCCACTGGAAGGCAGCCCATCTTGAAAACAAGACACGGTGTCTTTGTAATTAGTCCGACTGATATAGCCTACCTAGAGAAAACCGCCGATACCTCAGCAACAATGTTCGAAACAGTAGGTTGGGATACCCCGAATACATCTCCATTTATCATTTGCATACAACCTGTAGCATAAAATCGTAATGAAATGAATACTTTTAGCTGACATGGAATTGCCTGAGGATTCCTTGTTCTTGACGCTAGATCCCCATCTAATATATTAATCAACTCAAGAATGAGTGGCCTCGGCATGCAATATCTGTTTAATATCTCATCGTCAGTCATCTCTAACGGCTGACTCCTGTCTCTGAATAAGCGTAAACCTCTTCTATTGTGAACATCCTGGAATAATATGCGCCACATTTTCCAGCTTGATCGAACCCTAATATTTTAATTTTAGCAGACGATATTTGCGAAATGGAATTGCGATATTTATTATAGATTTCACAAAACCAAGGTAGCATAATCGTGCACTTTCAGACTTGATTTTGATAAGTTTTGGTTATTTGTGTCTCTAATGTTTTTTAACCTATTTTTAGTTGGATGTCTCAAAGGGCACTTCCTAGATTTCTACAACGATAATGTTAATTTAAATAGGAAAACTATCAAGATTCTTGATGATATGTTTGCGATTTATATTGCGGCAGGGTCAGGCATGCCGCAAATAAAGTGGAGTTTGCGACATAAAAATCAACTGATTTACGTGGACGCAACTGTGCGATGACTGCATAATACCAATTTGCGTGCGGTTAGCAGTGTATTTGCGATGCGAAATGAAAAAAGCGATGTGTCTACCGTGTAATAAGAAAACTGCGATTTGCGCTAAAGATGCAAAACGGCAATGAATTTGCGCTAGAGTGCCTTTGAGATGACCTCATAATATCGTTTTGCGTACGATTCGCTAAATATTTACGTTGCGATTGCGATTTGCGGTGCGTCGACCGGATAATGAGGTCTCCGGACCACAGGTTTTGAGGTTGGGCAGCCATTCACCTCGTAGACTACTGGTTGACAAATAAGCGATTTTGATGACATAATGCAGTAGTTGGTGGTTGTTTCTTACATTTTTCTCTCTGGGGCTACTATTGCTGTGACCTGGAGTCATATTCCAGTACCTTTGGTACCACTGCAAAATTTTAGAGACTGTTCCTGACACACCCCTAGGGTCCTGGCAATGGCAGTTTGTTTCATGCCAGAGAGCGCCATCCCTATGACCTGCCATGCTCTTTTTTGCTTATTCTATGGGGCATGCCTTCTAAAAACTCTTCCAACTCTAAATTAAAATTTTATAAAATGTGCACAATGATTACAACTAAAATTTGGACACCTCTTTCAAGTTACCATTATCATGAGGTCAAGGGGTCACCTGAGTGAGTACAAGTTTAATCAACCATAAATGTTTTAACTTTTCATACCAATCAGTTTTATATGCAAAACTGATGATGGAATGAGAACATGTTACAAATTTTCATCATCATTTTCATTATCATTTTGTAGAAATTCCATCGAACAGTTCCTGTTTATAAAATATTCCATATTTATGAGCAACAGTGTACAATATTAATGCTTACTTTTTCAACTGTTCAACCTTTGCCTCTAAGTCTCTGGAAGTGTCTTGTATATAGTGTTTCTGCTGTGTGAGAGATTCTACATTAGCCACCAAGGTGTCCCTCTCTGTCTGTAGTTCCTTCACTCGTAAATGTTCTCTCTCAACTGATTGCTTCAGCCGTTCATTCTCTTGCTGTTTCTTGTTGACTGCATCATTAATATTGCTGTATAGGGATTTTTCCTACAAATTATGTCACTATTAAGATAATTCTGTAAGTTGCCGAGTTCAATTCATGAAACATTGTGAAAAGCATGATAAATGTAGATTTAAGACAAAGATCTAAGTGTGCATTTAATCTAGTTAATTTTTATAACAGGGCTTAACCTCTAGTATCCTTTTAAATTTTTTGCGATAAGATAGTAAACATCATATTGAAGTACAGAGTTCCTTTAAATCATTATAGTTGCCAGGGCAGTTTTATTCAACATAAGTATTATCTGAATTCGACTTACATGTAACTGAAAGTTTAAAAGAATCAACATAAGTCCCCAGACTGTACAAACCTCTAATGTTGCATTCCTTAACTTTTCCAACTCAGCAAGTGATGCTGAATTTGACTCTTTTAACTTTTCTTCATCCACTTTAGCATCATGTAAGGACTCTAATAGAGACTTAAGCTCCAATTTATGCTTTGTGAGAGTACCATCCAAATGTTCTAAATTTGCTTCCTGATCTTTTATATCAAGTTCTAAATCATGAAGATGCGATTTTTTATCTTGTATAGCAGAAGACATCTGTTCCTCTTGTTGGTGGAGACCACTAAGAACTTCACTAGTTTCCTAAATGATGATATATACAGTTGATATCATACATCATTCAGGTATGAAATGTTTACAAATGAATCTCTAGTAGAAGATATCTTGTTCTACAGAAGGCTACCTTGTCATTTAAATAATGTTAAAATCATCCACTGCACGAAAAATGGCATGGCTTATAAACTATTTACCACTGATGTCAAATTCCAAATGCCTGTCATAAAACAATGGCTAAAACTATATGTCACCATGAAAAAGCTTTTTTGATATTGCACTTATTCCTTTTAATATGTGTAAAATTTAAAATACCTGAATCTCATGCCGACGTGCATTGATCTCTGATTCCACTTCCTTTCCAAGCTGAGCTAGTTCCTTATTTCTATCACTTTGTTGTTTCTCAAGTTGTGCTAGCTCTGTAGCTTTTTTACCTACTTCTCTATCAATGTGTTCAAGCTCCCCTCTCTCGCTCTCAATCTAGAACAAATGGGAGAATGAGAATGTTGAAAAAGTACCAGACAAGTGTGAATGAATAAAAAAAACTGAATGAAAGCTAATAGTATAACCAATCCTCCATGAACAAATGTACATGGTCTTATATTTGAAAAATTGAGGCATAAATTTCTTCCAGACCAAGGACAATAAAGACGAATAGTCAAACCAGCTGGATAACTTACATGATCTGATATTTTAGCTAGTTCAGCTTTCCTATTGTTCAATATCTCCTCACTCTCACGGAGAAAGTTAAGTTTGTCTTCTTCTAGTAACTTCACTTGTTCTATTTCCTCCTGGAGTTCCATGTGACTGCAAAAAATACTCTTTGTTCTGTATCAATGGAAACTGTTATTGATGTTGGATAGATATAGAATATTACTTGAACTTTTTGATTCATTGGCCACTCATACATTTCATATACAGTAAATGTCGAAGTGAAAATGAAAATCTTTAGTACTTAACAGCCTTCCAATTGGAAGTTGTTAAACTTATAGAGGTTCATTAACATTATGTCATTTGGTCTTGAGCCTCTGAAAAGTGTTCCACTAACAGGAGTGTTCCACTTCTAGAGGTGTTTCACTTTACAGGTTTCACTGTATTACCATAATAATATTGAGTATTCTAACATTTTTACCTGTGCTTGGTTTTCTGCAACTCTCTATCAAGCTGTTGGAATTCAGCATCCTTAGAGGCAATCACCTGAATACAAATTTTTCATGGTTAGTTTCAACAAGGACGTCTATCTGGGTTTTTGATAAAGATCTGTATGTTTATAGATAAGGCGTTACCTCATTTTTAATAGGTTATACATGTCAAAAATGTATTCTCTCCTGGACCAAATAATTTGGCAAATTTAAAAAAAAAATTATATTATGTTATATACGATATTAATAATGCACATGTATAAGGAAACATTTCGAACTAATTTTAGTAAAAAGATCTTTCTGCGCCTACCTTATTAATATCAGCTAGGGTTTCCTCTTGTTTAGACTTTCTTGTCTCAAGGACTTCCACCTCTTCTTGTAGACTCTTCACCTTCTCTGTAAGCTCAATCAGTTCTTTACCAGCAATATCGGCTCTTCTGTCTATTTCAGCAACTTCTTGTACTGTGGTCCCAAGTTCAGCCTTTGCAGTGTCATATTTCTGTACTGTAACCATTGCCTGTGGAAGGAGGGATAGGAAGGGTTGTTATATACATGTATCAGTTCATTCCCAACTACTGTCAATTCCTGTGCTGTATTCTCAACATATGTATAGGATATCCTATGATTATGAGGAATATCATTTTTATCTACGAGGTGATATTGATATCTGCACAAGAGAGCAAAGCGAACGAGTGCATATATCAATATCAACAAGCAGATTAAAATGATTCAATTTGGCGTGAAATGAACAAGCGGAGTATATTGTCACAATATCCCCAGCATATTGGGGTTTCCGGAATATATCGTCACGACATCCTCTGCCCGGAGTATATCATTATGATATCCTCCGGTTATTCATTTTGCCAATAAATATCAAATTTATTTTTAATGTTATTATACATTTAGTACAATAAGTGTAGGATAATAAATTGTACCATTGCTGTGAAACATGAAGAGATATTTTTTTTATTACCAGTAATGTCTGTTCTTAACTCTACATCTTGTATTTTAGCTAAATACTTCCACCCTGTTGACATTGAAGGATGCTGGATGGACAATGAATGAGGTACTTCATTAGTTCATCTGCGGTACTACATTGTTTTAATGTGTGGAAGTTTCATCTATAGTTATGAACATATACTGTACCTCATCTCTAGCAGCCGCCAAGTCACTCTGACACTCTGCTAAAAGTCTATCAGATTGTCTTAATTCTGCACGACGTTTTGCTAAAGTTGTCTCCAAACATTTGACCTCATTCAGGAGATATTTCTGCCTTCCACGCAGGGTTTGATCTGTGTATTCCTGGTCTAGGTCATAATCAGATTCTTCAGTTTCTGCATCCAGTCTGCCTTCGAGATACTCTCTAAAACAAATGCATTTTTGTAAAAATAAAGACAACTCAGATATATACAAATCGTCACTAGACTAGTGAGCAATTAACAGTGTAGTCCCTATCATTTCAATGGGTTGAATCATAATAGAACAGATGGGAGAACATCTTGAAGCCTGAAATCCTCCTTAACTTGATGATGATGGACAGACAGTCAGGCACGAATAAGAAACTAACCAGACTGACAGGCATCATAGAATCAAATTTCTTAGGCCTTGCAATCATGATGATCCTATTTTATTGTGAACAAAACAATTTAGGTAAAAATCGTTTAAGAACTGGATGAAACAATAACAAATAATGATGTCCATTGATCCCGTGGCATAAAACATACCTTCTCTGGTTGATTTGTGCATTAGCTCTCCTCAGGTCATTTAACTCTCTGTTGGCAGCCTCCTTTTCATTTCCCAACTTTCTTTCCTCCTCCTTCATAAATTGAAGAGTTGTCTTTTGTGACTCTATTGCAAGATCGAGTCCTTCTAGTTCATCTCTACGATCTTCTAGTTCGCCCTATATTTAAATAAATCAAAACAGTTTATACTTGCAGCAAATTATTTAATTTATTTGCTGTAAAATTGTAAATGATTCAAATGAGTAATACAAAACAGAACTCACCTTTGATTTTGAATCTACAGACATTGGTAGAGGTTTTGTCAGAAAGCAATTATTCATCATAATCACCATTATGGCAATGCTTTCAATTTTAAACAGATTGCAGCATTCTCTATGCATTTCATCGTGAATTTATTAATAAATCAAAGAGCACAATTTTACAAAAATGTACATGATGAATGCATACACTTCTACCTTTAATCTTTTAATTGCACTTCTTTCTTTCTGTTTATCTTTGGTTTTTCTCACTGGACTAACTAGAACTGGGTCTGATCTTCTTTGTTCCTGGAAGAAAACATAAATTAGTAATGAAAGCATGGTTGCCAAATATAAGCAAAAAATAAAGAACACAATCCATCAATATTCCACTCCTTTTGATGCCAAATGATCAGCTGCTAATACGTTTATCTTTTATTAGAATTGCACATTGGCTATTATTCCTCCTTGAACCCAGCACACATAGTTTATCCATAACATAAATAGCTTCGTGATAATCCCTAAATCTTTTTTAATAAAACACAAGCATTTCTTATGATTAAACTAATGTTGACAGTTGCGTCACAACTATTTTCTCAATAAAATGAATGGCTTAGTAAACCAGGTCACATACCTTAACTATTGCCAGTTTCTCCTTGAGTAATTTAATCTTGTCTTGTAGTTCACTCACATAATCCTCCTGGAAATAAATGCATTATCTTTAAAACCCCAAAATTAATTTCTTTATGATCAAAGTTATGATCAAGTTTTCAAGTGATTTCAAGTGATGTTTTTCAAATTAAAATGTCCAATATTTTCAGTAAGAAATAAAAGGGTGAATAAAAATTGAGTTATTGGGCCTAAATTTAAAAAAAAGGATAACCTACTAGTTCATGATGTTCTGGCACGTTACAGTAGAGGCCATCATCTGTTACAGGGACACCCTCGGTGGTTGGAGGTACTTGTTGCACAGTAGAAGGTGGAACCACTTGTTGAGTGACAGTAGTAGGTGGAGCTACATGTTGAGTGACAACAGGGGGTGGAGCTCCTTGCTGTGTGACAGCAGTTGTCAGAGCTACTTGGGACACAGCAGGGAATGGAGTTCCTTGTTGAATGACGGTAGGGATGACACTGGAATGTACTGGAGGAATGAGTGTTGTAGGAATCTGACTGAATGTTACAGGGATTTGATTATTTGGAATATTTGGCATATGAGATGTCATTTGACTCATAGTAGCAGGCATCTGGACCATATTTGAAGTTGGTTGTCCCATATTTGAATTCACTTGTCCAGTATAAGTACCACCTGTTCCTGGAGGAATTTGATTACTATTTGAAGCCATATGTTCCATATTGGAAGCCATGTGTCCTATATTTGCAGTTGCTTGTCCCATATGGGCATTGGTTCCATCATATGGTCTATAAGAGCCGTCTATACTTGCTGTTCCACCAAATAAATTGCCTCCCTGTGAGTTATAGGCTCTTCCATTCACTCCCACTTGGGAAGAATCTCTTGTAGAAGGAACATTGTATGGCGCTTCATTGTTTGCATCAGGTTGTATTTGTACTGATGGATTAAAATGCACCTGTCTCTCTCTTGGAGCACCATTACCATGGTACCCACTTGGAACTCTATTGTCATGGTTATCACTGCCTATAGAGGGAGCCACATGGTCACGAAGACGTGAAATATCATGACGTAATTGCTGAATCTCAGCATCCTTATCTGTCCCTGAAATTAAACATTATTATAAAACAATCTGATAAAAAATAATGTTTTAAATAGATGTCACTGTCAAATAACACCTCCAGCGAATTTCTGACTACACATTCACTAAAATATAAGAATATAAATGTTTAGTGTTTAAAACTTCCAATACTTTATGTGTACATTTATGTATAAACATTTTGTTCATTGAAAACAATTGAATCACATTGCAATAAATACCTGGAGGTTTTCCAGTTAATCTGTGTAGAATATCATTGAGCCGTTCTATTTCCCCCCTCTGATCTTCTAACAAATCATGCAATCTTTCAATTTCTTCTTCTTTGGCAGCTGAAACATAAAATTCAAGCTGAATGATAATTTAGTTTGTAAAATTATGAACAAATTGGCCATCCAAGAACTTGAGCAAGATGGCCCTAGACCAACTAAACATTTACGTTTGTAAATTTAAAAATTTTTTTTACAAGCGTTTGACTTTACAAAGCACGAAATAGTAACATCAGTGTTCCCAAATGTGTTCTCATTATTAAAACATAAGACAACAATAAATAGGAATTAGACAGATGGGATGCATACCAACAATTTGATTTGACCTTCCAGTTTGGGCCATCGTATCTTGCAAGTCGTGGTCTTTCTCCTTTAGGAGTTGAACAAGTTCTGTTATGTCATCTTGAGCTTTTTCCAGTTCTCCATGTAGCTCCCTCACCATTGGGTCATCCTCAGGAGGGATTTGACCACCCCTTTGGTGGGGAATAGGCTGGGTTGCCCAGCTAGGAGGTCCACTAGGGTGGCCATTGCGGTAGTTTTGACCTGAGTTGTGAGGGTAATCATATTGGTTGCCATGGTGATGTTGTGGATTGCCTTGTTGTGTTGCTTTGTTTTGGCCTTGATTTCTGGAATTAGGAATTACCATATTACTAGACAAGGCATTAACACGCTAAATGTCACCAACCAAACGTCGCCATTTCTTACAGACAAATTCCAAATGATGAACACCAACTGCCATTGCAAAAATTGTGGGACCATAACAATATGTCATCACTCTTGGTGTTGACATAAAAAAAATTATTATTGAGAACTTCATTCTAATTGTAACTGTTTTGCTTCGGTCATAGATTTATAATTTTCCTACTAACCTTCTATCATATGTAACATCATAGGAATCTTGGTTGCTATGGTGATCTTTATCTCTATAATGGTCATCAACTGAAGGATGGCTAGCTTGTGGAACATGGAAATTTCTAGCATTTTCTAACTCTTTTTCTTTTCTATCTAATTCTCTCTTTAATTTGAGCATCTCATTCTCTGCATTCATTGCCTTGAAAATCAATAGAAGCAGTTTACAAGTTGTTAATTCCTTCCAAATTATACTGTATTTTCAACAGCATGTTAGCAGAACCACTTTGGTCAATTTTACAAGTCAATTTAAATAAATGATCATTGCGTTTATGTTACTAGTTCTTATTTATGATCCATTCTGATTTTTCGATTGCACAGTTTTCCCCTTTGCATTTATTAATTTAAATACATGTAGATGTAGATCTATATATGAAAATGAATTTGTTCACCTGTTTTGATGCCAGTCTATCCTTCTCTTCAAGTCTATTTCTCAGATCTTCTAACTCATTCTGCAGTTGCTCATAAATGGCCTTCTCTTCGATAACATCTGAATCATCACTCATAGCACCCCACTGTGAACCTCCTATACCACTCAAAGGTCCCCTTTGTGAGCCCCCAATGCTGGTGTGGTCACTACGAGGTGTAGGCTCAAGGAAGTGGTTAGGTAGACCAGTGGATTGGTTAGATGTCTGTTTTTGCATGGACTGTTTTAAGGCATCTTTTAGCTGAGATATTTCCTCTTGCAGTTGAGCTATTGTGTCATTATCACCATTGCTGGAGTTGTGTTGAGGTTGTGTGGTGTTAGCTTGGTTCAATTTTGAGAGTTGTTCTCTCAATTTTCTTACTTCTGACTCGGCCTAAAACAGTCATGCTCAAACTAAAACATTGTTTTTTAATTATACTTTTAATTCATGAAATGTTCTAACCACATACATTCAAATTTAACTTTCCCTGTATATTAATCTAATTTGATTTCTTCCATTAAATGAGAAAATACCTTTGATTTCTCTTTCTCAGCTTTCTTCACGTCTGCCTGGCTAGTGTATATCTTGTCAACTAGCTGGCGCTGCATCTCCATTAAAGCTTCATTAACCTCATTTGGTTCTTCAAATATGGATTCATCTGGGGCCTGGAGAAAAATATGCAATTATATGTAAGCCAAATAATGTATATTTTGCTATCAATTTTAATCAACCTCTTATTTAATCTCAAAAAGTTAAATCAAAGCCACCTTATACGTGTATACGCATTACCCAAACTCAATTAAATGCAGACCTGATGGTATTAAATTGTACAGAAATTGGGAGATCAGTGTATTTTGTCATTATAAATATGTAAATAAAATAAGGAAAGCAATGCTGGCATTGAGTTTGATTTTATTTTAAGATGAACACACCTGGCCTGCATCAATGCTTTCCATCATGTCCTGTAGTTTCTGTTGAATATGTTGAGGCTGGGTTGATTTGTTGAGTAACTCTTGAATCTCATTGTCTCTTTCTTGTAACTGGGATTGAAGCTCTGTGTTAGCTGCCTGGAATTACACAAAAGATAATGGAATTACTTTGACATAATGTAAGCACATAACTAAGGCAATGGAATAATCTTGTGTAGACTTATTGAATAACTCTTGCATCTCACTGTTCTTTTCACTAACTTTGGGTTAGCTGCCTGGAAAATCATATTAGTATACAGTAGTTTATTCATGATGTCACTGATATAACTTAAAGTTCACTTTCTCACTAACCTGAATGTGTTCAAGTTGCTCTTTTATTCTGTTACCCATCATATCTTTTCCAATATCAACCTGCTTTAGTTCATCAACAGCATGTGCTGCCCTCTTTTGTTCATTTTCAAGTTTATTTAACATAACTTGTTTATCAGCCATTGATTTTTGTGTTTCATCAAGCTGTGATTTTAGCATCTGATTTTCTTCATCTTTTGTATGTAAGGATACTTCAAGATTGTGCAATTTCTGAAAAATATATTGCAATCCATTTCATTAAATACCTAGCATTTTATTATAACCATTGTCTTTCTGGATTATGTCTCCAATGTGTAGGTACAGTGCCCAAAGGAAAATGACCAAAAATTGTTAGACAACACAGCAAGAAAAAAAACATCATAAAAAGAGATTTAAACAAAATATTGTGGCATAGAGATAAATAAATAAAAAATATATGTATTGGGCACGACTGGGATTCGAACCACCTAAAGCTGGTGCAGCAGTCCAGTGCCTATATCCATTAGGCTACTGGAAAAAGTTTAAGAGTACACCAGTCATATAAAAGGAAAATACAGCAACTACATCAATGTTACAACTACTTGGCTCCAATATGATCAAGAGTAATGTGCCCAGAAAGAAAGATGGCAGCAGTGGTATATATATTTTTATAACTATACAGACCTCTTGCTCCATCTTTCTTTTCATGCGTAAGTTTTTACATCTAACAATCTTTCTTGAGTTCACAAGGTAACCACACCGTGTATTTATGCCCTAAGGATCTGAGAGTTGCTGGTTAAAATGGAATTACAGACCAGTTGCAATGTTTTTTTTCCTATACCTAGTGAAAAAAGTAACTTGGTAATGACGAGTGGACCAGCCCTTTAACCCATACACTTTAACCACATTGCAATAGAAAGATATAGTTGATTTCAAACAACATAATTTACAAATTTCACGGTCCATTTTTTTGTACTCAGCATCATCAGAATGTAGGAAGAAACATGAGAGATGATGTCTGAATCCCAACATTCAAAGGATGTGTAGTCAGTATGTGATCAAATATTATTAGGTTTAAAACATTGGACATACTTCTCTTAATTTCATATAACCTCCAGCCTCTGAATCCATGATGCCCATCTCCTTCTCAAGGTTATGTATTCTTTCTTCTAATGCATCCTTCTCTCTCTGCAGTGAATTATATGCTTCATTCTGATTGGCTGCCCTCTGTTTTACATCGTGAAGATATGTCTGGAGTCCCCCTACAACACTCTCTAGTTCAGTACGCAAGGCATCATTCTGTGCAACCTGGCCTGGAACATGGATTAATAAAAGTGAATTAAAGGTAAGTTAAATGCTTCATTCTGATTGACTGCCCTCTGTTTTACATCCTAAAGATATGTCTGAAGTCCCCCTACAACACCCTCTAGTTCACTACGCAAGGCATCATTCTGTGCAACCTGGCCTGGAACATGGATTAATAAAAGCGAATTAAAGGTGAATTAAATGCTTCATTCTGATTGGCTACCCTCTGTTTTACATCATGAAGATTTGTCTGGAGTCCCCCTACAACACCTTCTAGTTCAGTACGGAAGGCATCATTCTGTGCAACCTGGCCTGGAACATGGATAAATAAATAATAAAAGTGAATTAAAGGTGAATTATATGCTTCATTCTGATTGGCTGCCCTCTGTTTTACATCATGAAGATATGTCTGGAGTCCCCCTACAACACCTTCTAGTTCAGTACGCAAGGCATCATTCTGTGCAACCTGGCCTGGATCATGGATTTATTAAAAAAGACTAAATGGTTAATTTATTTAAGCAACAGCAACAAGGTTTTGAGTTGTTATAAAAAGACACATACTCAACAACACTGAGGCCGGTTTTAAAGTTGCTAGCAACTCCCATTAAAATATCAGGTTACATCCACACTTTAACATGGTACAGAAAGTCAGGATTAGTAAGTTTAATTAACAGCATTGCTTAATACTTGATTTTGATTGGCTAAGCTTGAGGACTAAATTTGAAAAATGTTTTTACAATTTTTTAAATCACAATCAAACAAAATGATGAAGTTAAAATCAAACTGCAGAATATGAACCTAACAAGGCACAGACGTGAACAATATCGTACCTAAAACACAGCATTGTGGTCTTGTTGACCAAGAAAGCAAGATGGCCGCAGAAAAGTTAATCAGCTCTAGAACTTATCACTGTGTAACATATGTAATAAAAAAATTTGAATGGTTTGGCTGGAAACCTGTAGACAAGTCTTGAAAGTGAAGATTTTAGGACGGAAAATCCAAAATGGCCACCTTAAAATTTACCCAGAATGCCCAAAAACTAATCAGTTCTTGACGTTGATATGTAGAAACATCCCTGAAAATTTCAGATGAATCCCTCAAATGGTTTGGCTGGAAACCTGTAGACAAGTCTTGAAAGTGAAGATTTTAGGACAGAAAATCCAAAATGGCCACCTTAAGATTTACCCAGAATGCCCAAAAACTAATCAGTTCTTGACGTTGATATGTAGAAACATCCCTGAAAATTTCAGATGAATCCCTCAAATGGTTTGGCTGGAAACCTGTAGACAAGTCTTGAAAGTGAAGATTTTAGGACGGAAAATCCAAAATGGCCACCTTAAGATTCACCCAGAATGCCCAAAAACTAATCAGCTCTTGACGTTGATATGTAGAAACATCCCTGAAAATTTCAGATGAATCCCTCAAATGGTTTGGCTGGAAACCTGTAGACAAGTCTTGAAAGTGAAGATTTTAGGACGGAAAATCCAAAATGGCCACCTTAAGATTTACCCAGAATGCCCAAAAACTAATCAGTTCTTGACGTTGATATGTAAAAACATCCCTGAAAATTTCAGATGAATCCCTCAAATGGTTTGGCTGGAAACCTGTAGACAAGTCTTGAAAGTGAAGATTTTAGGACAGAAAATCCTAAATGACCACCTTAAGATTTACCCAGAATGCCCAAAAACTAATCAGTTCTTGACGTTGATATGTAGAAACATCCCTGAGAATTTCAGATGAATCCCTCAAATGGTTTGGCTGGAAACCTGTAGACAAGCTGAAAAGTGAGACGCCGCCCGCCCACCCGCCCGCCCGCCGCCCGCCTGCCCGCCACCCGTCAAGCTGACTACAATATCGTACCTTTTGTTAGGTACGATAAAAACATTGAAAAATGCACATAACAAAATTGGAAGCAATACATCTTCTAAATCAATATGAAATTTGAGAAATTAGACCAGCTATGTGAAAATTTCAAAAATACAGTTATTCTGGCTGTTCCATTAGTCTACCTCCTATTTATATGTCTCTCTTTAACTATACTACTATTTATATTACTATCTTTAACTTTACCAAAACAATCAAGTTGATCAATATTGAAGTTGATCAATATCAAAATTGAGTTGCTTGTTATCAAAATGAATAGGATCAAAAACCATTAATTGCAGACAATATTATTTCAAAAGATCAAAATTTCAGATCTTTCCACTGACTGTAGTTTGCCTAGAAACAGAAACATCAATAGCTGGGATCAACTGCCTCAAAATGTATACTCGGATACCTAAGTTTGTCCTGTTCCATAGAATTAGGCTCTTAGGTCGAAATATTAATTCAATGTTCATTTCCAGAACAAGAAAATAAATCTTGTACCTATTCATTGTTTTTGACACACAATTTTTTTACACCGAAAGAAAGGATAAAATGTTCAATGTCAATGCCCTTTACAATCATACAACTATTGTTTTCTTCTATTTCTTCAAAATCAGAAAATTGTAATGACAATGTGTGACAACAATAATAGTTCATGAAATGTGAATACAAATGGCAGTTAACAAACCAAAATTTGATATAAGAGAGCTCTCGCACAGCTTGTTATATCTAGTATACCACCACATCTCATTTTAATTTGTCTCGTATTGTTTAAAATAAGTCATATTTGTTGAAATTTAGGTATCTAGGCCAGCCTTAAAGGCACTCATCTCACTTAATTATGCACCTTAATATCAATCTCAATTTATGAGGAAGAACCCCATTTTTGGCAATCTTGAGGTTAGTCAATTTATCATGAAATTTTGTACATTAACTGTTGGGATATATAAGCCCGATCTTGTTGTTTATGTCTGTATTGGTTATGAAACACAAATGGAAACTTCCATCAATGTATAAATGACAAAATAGCCTTTAAAAAGAACTGAACAAGTAGGTATTGTTCGATAATACATCACACCATGATCACAAGACTTGAATTTGTCTGAAGATCCTCATTGAAATAGATATGTAATCAGTGATAAAAAGGTTAAAAGGAATGTACTAAGCACAACATGTGCAGATGTATTTGTAATACCTTGATAAGATTTAGAAATCTTTAGAGTCTTCAAGTGAAGTATGAGATTGAAAATATTAAATGTTAAAAAAACGGTTTTCAGTTAAAAAAAATCAACTCTTATCCTTTTATCTTAAACCCCATTCTTAAGACGAGTACAACCAAAAGAGTGTTATCATGTTTGTGGTAGTGCTAACCAAGCAACTCCTATTCCTAAGGTACATAGAAGAATTCAGAAAAAGTATGTTTATATGAAGGATGTATACCACATGTACCACAATATCATTGCTAATATGTCCTTCTCTTTATGCACACCCTTCACTTTGTACACTTTTCAAATAAAATTAATTTCTCCGAATTTTTCCATATATTCTTAAAACTCAAGGGTACAGTATATTGATTATATTGTTAATTTCTTTATCATCTGACAATGATTAAGCTCAAACCAGACTTGCCAACCTCCCGTTTTTTTACGGGAATCTCCCGTAAATTTTTTGTTTTTCCATAAAAAATACCAAACTCCCGTAACTTTTTCTCCCGTAAAAACTCCCGTACCGTATTTCTACTAAAATCTCCCGCAATTCTTTTTTAAAATATGGCCGTAAAATCTTTTGCTGAAATCTCCCGTATTCTGGTATAACTCCCGTAAAATCTCCCGTATTCTTGGTATAACTCCCGTAAAATCTCCCGTTTTCTGGTACAGGGTGACCCAAAAAATGCAACCCTCCATTTCTTCAATATTTTTCTTAAATGGAGGTTAATTGCTCTGAAATTTGGCACACAAGGACTTCATTCAATGTGGGATCCTCCGGCAAAGTTTCAATAATCATAGTCTTATATTGATAGAGTTATGGTTGTTCCAAAATATGCTCCAAATGTCGTCCATTTCCAATAATAGGTTTTCAGTTGAATCACATTCCCTTCTTTCTGAACATGTAAACTCAAGAAATAATGTGTTCTGGGATCACAAATTCCAGATGAAGTGCTTCAAAGGCCCATTCATTCTGTTAAATGCACAGCTTGGGCTGCCAGTTTCCAAACACGAAATCATCAGCCCCTTTTGGTTTGAGGTTGATAATGGCAACACTGTTACTGTTAACACACAGCGCAATATTGTCGTTCCCAGGAAGTTCTAGGCAGTTCTAGAGTGACATAGAGGCTTCAATAGACAAGAACAGTGGTTCTAGAAGGATGGAGCTACTCCTCACACTTCTAATGATAACATAGCCTGGCTCACTAGTCATTTCTATGAGAAGATGATCTCTCCTAGGACGGAGAACCCATGGTCATCCCACAGTCTTGTTCTCAATGCCCCTGACTTCTATATGGGGTTATTTAAAGTATAATGTGTATGAAAATAACCCTACCGCAATTGCAGAACTCCAATAAGCAATGGCTGCAAAAATTTGAGCCATACCCATGGGGAAGAATGCATCCGTGTTATGAACAATTTTCCTTGAACATTGCAAGTTTGTTTTCAGTGAAATTGACGACATCTGGAGCATATTTTGAAACAACCATAACTCTATCAATATAAGACTATGATTATTAAAACTTTGCCAGAGTATCCCACATTGAATAAAGTCCTTGTGTGCTAAATCTCAGAGCAATTTACCTCCATTTAAAAAAAATATTGAAGAAATGGAGGTTTGCATTTTTTTGGGTCACCCTGTATTACTCCCGTAAAATCTCCGTTTTTTGCTGTCGAAATCTACCGTATTTAAAAGGAATTTGACAAATTTGTGACCTTGATTTTTTCAAAACCTAACATAAAAACTCCCGTTTTTTCAGAACCTACCGCAAAAACTCCCGTTTTTTCTGAAATCTTCCGTAAAAAAGTCACGTTTTTTTAAATTTACCGCGAAAAATACCTTTTTAAAAAGTCTCCCGTAAAAACTCCCATTTTTTCAAAATCTCCCGTGAAAACTCCCTTTTTTCAAAAAACTCCCGCAAAAACTACCGGATTTTGAAAAAAACTCCCGTAAAAGTACCGCAATTTTTTTTAAATCTCCCGAAAATTTTTCAATTTAGGTTGGCAAGTCTGCTCAAACTGTTAAAAATATGGTCAGCTTTATGAAATATGATATTTTTTTCGACAAAGTGACAACACGGGGGAATAGTCATCATGTGACGTTCGTGGTTGATGTTCTCTGTTCAAGGTGTTTCTCTGATGTTCTCTGTTCAAGTATTTTAGATTAAGCCAGAAAAACGATAAATTTTCATATTTATACTCTGTTAACAGCATTAAATCTCTCCCCCACCTATGCACCCTATCTTTCAAACGACCCTATATTCACAACCAGAATATTTAATTTTAAATTTTAGAGGATTTAATTTGACAAAAAATACCTTTAACAGAAGATGTCATTTGAACGCAATTTTAAGCCCAGTTGATAAACATTAAGAAGGAAGCCAATTGTGCATAAAATTG